TAATATTATAAAAAAAACCGGGAATTTTATTTATTTATTTTATAAAAATATAAATATTTTTATTTTAAATAATTTTAAATTAAGTTTTAATATTAATTTAAAAAAATGTACTTTTTATAATTACATTAATCTTTAATTAATTATAACTTATATAAACCTTTTAAAATAATATTAAAACTTTAATTTAAAGTTATTATAAATAACCGTTTAATAAAAAATTAACTTACGGTAAAAAACATTATTAAAAATATTAATATTATTAAAAATAATAATATTAACATATGTAAAATAAGTAATAATTAATTATATAATAATTATTAACTTTTTTATTAAATTTATTAATTAAATTTACGCGTTTTAAACCTTTTAAAAGTATTAAAAATGGTTATAACGGTCGTAACGCATTAACCGTAATAACGGTTATAACACCGGTCGCGTTAACCGTAATAAACGTTAAAGTTTAATATATAAAAAAACGGGAAGGTTTAATTAATAATATTATTAAACTATTAAAATAAAAAAAATTTTATTTTTATACGTTATATTAATTATAATGTTAATTATATTATTAATTATATTATTAATTATGTTATTAATTATAATGTTAATTATAACGTTTTAATATTTTATCGTTAATAAATTTTAACGTAAAAGCCTCGTATATAAAAACGCGATACCGTACGAGTATATAAAAAAAATAAAAAAATAAAGAAAATAAAATATTAATCTTAAATTATAAAAATAAAAGGTATTTTATACGTTATTATTATATAATAAATCATCGTAAACTTAATATTTGATTTTTTATTATTAAATTTTTATTATTAATAAAATGCGGTTTTATAATAACTTTAAACTTTAATTTAAAAAACGCTTTATTTTTAACTTATAAATATAAACATATAAATTAAAAGTTTCGTGACGTTTATAACGGGGAAAAGAAAAAAAGTAAACGAAAACGAAGCTTGTTTTTTAAATTAAATTTAAAACCATTTAAAATAAAAGTATTTATATATAATATGTTAAAATAAATTAATAAATATTAGTAAAAAAATTATTTTATATATATAAATATTTATTTTTTAAATATTTTAATTAATTTAAGATTAAATTACATATATTTTAAATTATAATTTTTATTATTTTTTTATATAAATTATAATATAATTTATTAATAATTTAATTAAAAATTTATAAAATTATTAAAGTAAACGTTAAAAAAAGAAAAGAAAAACAAGGTATATACTTTATTTTATTACATAAATAATAATAAACATATTATATAATTAATATTATTTAAAAAAAATTCGTAATATTTTAAAATATAATAAATTAAAAAATTATAAAAAACTTTATAAATAAATAAATAAAAAATTTAATAATTAAAGTTTTAATAATTTATTATACGTTTAATATTTTAATTAATTTTATATAATACTTTTAATTAAAATAATATTTAAATTATTTTTTTAAATTAAAATTTTTAAAATATATAAAATAATAATAATTTATTATTATTATTATAAAATTAATTTAAATAATAAATATTTTATTATTAAAAATACGTAATAAATACGATTTATATAATATAATTAAATTTAAAAAATTATAAATTTTATAATAATTATTTTTTAATTAATTTATTAAAATTAATTTAACGTAAAAATATTTTCGCGTACGTTATACGTAAATATTAAACTTTATTTATACGTTAACGGTTTTTATAAACGTTTTTTATTAATTTTATTATTTTATATTATTTAAATATAATTAAATAAATATTAATTAATATTAATTAACTTTTATATATTATATAATTAATTAATATATTATTTAACGCGTATATAAATACTTTTATATTATAATATATTATTATAATTAATAATATTAATAAATTATATATATATAAATTAATTAAAATAATACGTTGTTTTATACGTAAATTAATCACGTGTAACCACGTGATTAATTTTACGTAATTATTAATTTAACATTAATAACTTTTTATTTTTTTTATATAACGTAATTATATATAATTTAATTAATTTAATAAAAAGATTTATTATTAATTTTATTTATATTATTATATTATATATAAAATAATTAAATAATTTAATATTTATTATTTTTTTTAATTTAATTATATTATAACGTAATTTTAATAAATTAATTAAATTATATATTATAAATTAAAATAAACGTATTAATTAAATTATATAATTTTTAATATAAAATAATTATTTATTATAAATAATAATTTATTATTAAATACTTTTTAAAAAAATTATTAAAATTATTAAAAAATTTATTTTAATATATATTAAATTATAATTTATTAAAATGTAAATTACGTTTATTATAAACGTTTTAAACATATATAATTTATATATTTATATTTATAAATTATAATTTAAAATTAATAATATATTATATTTATTTATTTAAACTTTTTATATATTTATATAATATTACGTTATTATATCGTAATTTTAAACGTTAAAATTATTTTACGGTAAATAATATTATTAATTATTATTATTATAACCGATAATATAATTAATAATATATATAAAATAATTTATTTTATATTTAAAAATAATAATATTATTATTTATTTATATTTTTTTATTTTTTTTATATTTATATAATTTTATTACGTGTTACGATTAACGCGTTACGACCGGTATTATTACAACCGTTATTATAATTATTATTATAATTAATATTACGGTTATTTTTAACGTCGCGAAAAATATAAACATATAAATTTAATCGATAAATTTAATAATAAAATTAATATAATTATATAATTAATTAATATTTATTATAAAATAACACTAGTTACGTAATATGCCCATTATTGCGTGCGCAGTAAATGGGGTACGTACTTATTACTTTTTCCCCTTTTTTTAACGTTTACCTTAATAACTTTACGAATTCCGGTCCGATTTATATATAATTTACACCATAGTTTCAATAAGAAAATGAGCAAAATTCCGCTCTAGGGTGCACGTGATTCGGCCCCGAATTGGCCGAAATATTAAAGAAGTAAGAATTTATGTATATAAAGTGACTTTTTTACTAGTATTTACTAGTTTATTTTAGCTTATTATATAGAAACAGCCGTATCTTTACGAAATAAATCGTTAAAAATCTCGGACTTGCTTTATAATATTGACCGTTTAGTTATTTAAATATTGAAACTTTTCCGGAATTTATCCGGGTTGTATTGGTAAAGTTATTGAGGTTAAAAGATGTTGAGATTACAGGGGATAAAAGCCATTAAAAAGAGCCTTAAAACAGCCACTATAGTTAAAATTCATACTTTCAGCCGTATCCGGGTCAATATTGGTCCGAATCACGTGCGGCCGGGTTCATATTTTTGCTGATTTCGTTATATAATTTATAATGCTTTTTCCGAGAGATTTAGACGAGAATTCGTAAAGTTATTTAAAAAAGGATGCGGGAAGCGATTTAAAGCTACCCGGGATTATACCCCGCATATTGCGCACTTAATAAATAACACATTACGCAATTAATGTTGCTTTTATTATAAACGTATTAACGTTATTATTTTTAATGATTTTATTAATTAATTAATTATTACGGTTATTATTATTCGTTAAAAACATTTTTTACGTTAAAACTTTTAAAAATTATTATACGAAATTAATAAAAAAATAATAAAAAAATGATAAAAAAATGATAAATAATTAATAAGTAATTTATTAATAAATAATAAGAAAATTAATAAAAGATTTAATGTTTTCGATAAATTTTCACGTGCGAGTTTATAAACACGTGAAAACGTTTACGCGAACTTATAAATACATGCGTTTTTTTAAATTTTAATTAATGTTACGATTAATATTATAACCGTTATAATTACATTTAATATTTTTAAAAAATTTAAAACGTATAAATTAATTAATAAATTTAATAATAAAATTAATATAATTATATAATTAATTATTATTTATTATAAAAACGTATTAACGTTATTATTTTTAATAATTTTATTAATTAATTTAATTAATTTAATTAAATGATATTATTTTTTATAAATTAATTTTTTAAAAAACACGTGTTTAAAATAACTTTAAATTAAAAGTAAAATATTTTAAAAAAAAAGTTTTATAAGTTATAATTAATTAAAAAATAATATTATTATAAAAAATACATTTTTTTAAATTAAATATTAAACTTTAATTTAAAATCATTTAAAATAATAAAAAATATAAAAAAGTATTTTTTTATATTAAAATTAAAATTTATATATAAATATTATTATAAAATAATTATATTATAAATTTTATTAATTATATATATAATTATAAAATATAATTATATAATTAAATATATTACTTTTTTTATATATTTATATTAAATTTAAAATTATAATAAAATTAAAATTTAAAAAAACGTATATATTTATAAATTTATATAAACGTTTTTACGTATTTATAAATTTATACGTAAAAATTTATCGAAAATATTAAATTTTTTATTAATTTTTTTATTATTTATTAATAAATTATTTATTATTTTTTTATTATTTTTTTATTATTTTTTTATTATTTTTTTATTAATTTCGTATAATAATTTTTAAAAGTTTTAACGTAAAAAATGTTTTCGACGGATTATTTTTAAATTATAATAAAAAAGTTTTTTTTAAAAATAATGTTTATTTAATTTTTATATTATTTAATTAAACGGGATAATTATAAAAACATAATATAATTATTTAATTTTTTAATTTTTAAAAATAAGTTTTTTTTTATTTATACATTTATAATTAATTAAACTTTAAAATAAAATTATTTATTAATTAAAATATAAATATATAAGTTAAAAGTTTCGTAACGTTTATAACGGGAAAAAAAAGGTAAAAACGAAGCTTACTTTTCGAATTAAAGTATAAGCTATTAAGATAAGTCCCGAGCCGTGTCGATAAATGTTAAAAATGCCAGGTACTTAAAGTGTTAAAAGCGAAGGTGCCGGGGGTATCGAATGTGCTAATAAAAGTGCCCTCCAATTATGGCATGATAGTTCGGGTCGACTCTCCAATCTAAACTAAAATTCATGACAACAAGTACTGGGTTTAATGTTAAAATGTACTTATGAAATCAATAACTATATTTTCAACTGGCTTAAAACATTACACCTGCTCCTATCGACTGGAGAAGTGTGCGCTGGAACATTAACGCCAATTCTGTTTGTTGGTCATTATCAGAAGAAATCTGGAATTCTCCCTCGATACATTTTGCAACAGCCGTTGCATATCTAGTTCCCATCGCACTTGGTAACTTCCGTTTAGCCCATTTCAGAAGCACACTTTGCCACCCGAAAGGCGTAAAGTCTTCTCCCGGCGGAAGGCGGCCTCGGACGTTAGCATAAAGCTTTTCAATGAGCTCACCGGTACCTATTTCTAAGAGAACGAGCCCTAGGGAGTATATGTCATATCCCTTGTTGAACTTCTCTAACGGTGTCTCTTGCCTGTCCGGGTGGCGGTAGAGTGTATTTTCGTCCCATTCTCCTGAGAGACTCGACTTTGCAAGAGCCTCTCGAGAGGCCTCGAAGCCCTTGATGTATAAGTCCCAATGGGTGACCCTCAAAGTTTCGTCCCTCTCTTTGGCCACGGCGCATAGGATATTAGATGAGCAAATATTTTTATGCACCCAACCGGAATTGTGAATATTGAGGAGTCCAACGCAAACCCGATAAGCCAAACTGAAACGGACTTCTAGAGGGGACCTCGCAAGTTTCTGAATGGCCTGTTTTAGAGTCATAAATTGGGGAGAAACCATGCCATTTGGTGAACAGTACGCTGATGGGATCTCATACAAGAAAGAAAGTTCGCCTAGCTTGTCGTTGTCAACGAACCCTAGACAACGTAAGCTATGAAGGGAGTCGATGGTATTCGGATCCTTATCTATTTGGCTTAGAATTGCCGCAAGCTTCTGAGTTTGGACCTTAACATCCATGGCACGTTGTTTTTCCTCCGATGAAATCTCGTGAGTGCCTTGTTTCGGGGGATTGTATCGCCTATGTTCTACAATGACTGTCTGGCTTTGGAGTGACCCCGCTCGACCATCGGGTGTGTATTGGCCCAACGTCAAGTCTTCTCTGAAGCATGGATCGGAGTGTTTGGAAAATAGACGAAGAGCTCCCGGAAGAGGGGTTGCCGGTTGTAATTGCTTAGCAGAACGAAATAATTGTTGCTGGCGAGCGATATGGGCGAGTCCCGACTCTCTAAACGATAGCCCTGAAAAGGATGCGGCACTTGAAGTCTGGAGCATTCGCGACGACATCGTCTGCTGTAGTGTCTCAGTCAGGCGGAAGACTTTAGAGCCAAATTGGACGACAGTATCCAGTGGTTGAGCTTCGTCGTTCGTCATGTCAAAACTCAAGTAAGTCTGGATGGTGTGGGCCAGTTCTTCGATATCCCTAGCTATTAGGTCGACGTATTTTGAAGGGGCCTGAGTTCCGAGAAAGAAATCACCGAACTGATCATGAAGTAACGTATCACATAATCCAGACATCCTGACCAGCCCTTGTTCTATTGACCCGCGGACGTCTGACTCGGAGCTTGTCGCTGACTGCACGGCGTAACATAGAGTGGTTGATGTCGATGCTATGTTACGCAGCTGTTCGCGGATGTTGAAGTTCTGGAAGAGTCTCGGGACAATGATTTGGGCCTCTCTAATCGTATCAGCGATGGCATCTTTAACCCTGTGGTATGCGCTTCCTTCTTTGCGTGTTAGCTTGGCAATCATCGAATGATTCTCATTAATTGGTATCGTCTTCTCGTTGTCCCAACCCAAGCACGCGGACCCTTCGCGTACCATCATCGCCGGAGGACCACAGCGCTTCAAAGTCCCATTTTCTTGCTTTACTGCGGTGGGTGTTTCGCGGCGCTCGTGGCAGCTTACTATTTTGATGTCTTTATTTGCTTTCGTAAAGTCCTCCCTGAGGGCCTTCATAGTTGGTGAATCGGGAGTGAGATCCCGCACTAGATTTTCTGGCGGTTCGTCGATGACGGCTTGTAGCCAAGGCCCTGTTACCATACCATCATGTGGAGTGCCAAAGAATACGAGGCCGTATATCGCACGCCGAAGAAAGTCGAGGTTTTGGTCTTTCGCACACTTTGACCATGCCTTCCAGCGCTCTTAACATAGTGTAGATTTGCTGGACGAGAATTCAACCCACCTGTTTTATTATCAATCCGCCGAGGCTATGGCCGATGAGAATGAGTGGTAGATGCTATTGAGCCAAGTTAGGGCATAACCGCGCACGTTGTTGATATTTACTTGACACCGTCATACTCGTTCGTGGGGGTTTTCCTTCCTCCTAGCCACAAGACACCCCAAGAATTCGTCCGTGAAGTCAGACAGTACGGCCCTTGAATTGCTTGGCGATAACTCGGACTTGTATCCAAAAACAGAGATCCGAATGCCACGGATATCGGATGGTAAGTGGTCTCGCAACCACATCGATCCATCATCACCTTGCCATGATGCAAATGCTTTCCCTGCCAAGCCGGTTACGGCTACAATACTATGCCGCAATCATTAGATTCGGAGGGTATTTTACGGGAAGGTTACCATACTCAACAATTTTGTTCGCTTCGACATCATTATCGACGGATAGGGGTGTCCAGCCGTAGAAGTTACTGTCAATATGAGCGAGGGCAAATCTTTGATCCGCTATGTCAAAGAATTTCCGAAACAATCCATCAGTTCCCGAACGAAGGGACTTCAATTGTGGGGGTTCAGATGAAAAAGTAATTGTTGCGATCTTGCTGGAAATGCTGCCAATACCTATATGAGCATCAACCAACGAGACCCGTTCGATTTTCCCTCGCTCAGATAAGGGGAATAGCTGTCGGATTTCTTCAAGATCGCATTCACCAGGCAAATTCGTCAATCGGTATGTCTTCTGAGCGAGCTCCGGGGATGCCATAATTGCTCATAATGGGGTGGAATCGTAATACAACACGAAATGACTGAAATCTTTTTGTTTTAGGCAGACCTGCAGTGCCTTGTTTTGGCGCGGCGGAGCAGTGTGCTTAGATCACCTCCTTTTCCTCCTCTCCTGGAAGATGTTCCTAATACTCATGCACACGCCAAGTTTGATATGTGACATACGGATTTTACTGGCGGGAAGAACTTACCGTGCCGAACCGAATAGGGTGTCCCAGTAATATCTGGCGAGTAATATTACGCATAGGTAGCTCTTCTCCAAGGATATCTTGCAGCGTCAGCATAGCCACGACTGGTGCGGAGCCTTGGTCGAATAATTATCTATCGCTTTCGGTGAAAACATGAAGCCTCACTTGCTGGCTGGCATAGTCATCCTCTAGCGGAGGGGCTATTGGTAGACCACATTCGACCGGAGCTAAGTCGATGCAAGAGAAAATACCTACATATTTTATTCACACCAGCCCCGATGCTTATATAAATCATGCTACACCCCTCTGGGTTCAAAATTGTCTTAAACATGATTTTACTGAGGTAATATCTTGCAGGGTTTCATAAACTAAAAATCATGAACACCTTGAAATGACAGGGACACTTAGTATAGATTCTAGGTTATCAGCCATGAAACCCAAACCTCTTTATGTTGAACGAGCCCAGCCCTCGATCTCAGTCGATGTGATTTTGGAAGAGATAGAAGCCTTGGAGGCTAGTCTACATCGCCGCCCGCCGGGTGAAGCTATTCGTATGCTAACGCCACTCCTAAGTTTCATAGAGCGCTACTCGACTGTTGTAGATACGATGACCCAATATCAGGCCAATCCATCCAGTCTTATATGGGGTGCTCTAAAATTGATTGTTTTGGTATGTTTATCAGCCAAAGTTACGAGCCGATTTGGCGTAGGTAATATGGCTAATGGCTTGTTTGTAGATGGCGCGGACTCCAAATTCCTGGTGGAACAAGCTACTTATGATGCTTAAGAAGCTAGGAACCCAATTGATGATCTTTCGCGAATACGAGCAGATTTTCGGCGAATCCGAAGCGTTAAAGGGAGCATTAGCTTCCACGTACATGGATATTTTTATGTTCTTACGAGCAGCCAAACAAGAAGTTGGGCAACGAAGTCAGTCGTCTATACTATTGGACAACGATTCGATCCCGGATCAAGATCTAATGACTAATCTTAGATAGACACTCTTCAAACAATACTACATTGGAGCGCGAGTAGCTTTGTTGGAGACTTTGAAGAAACTTCTTCAAAACTGAATATGCGCCTCCAAAGCCTGGGCTCCCTTACGACCCTTTTACATCGCCGGGCACTTCACGAGGATCTGAAACTTCAGAAAGATTTTCGGGTCGAAGCTTCGCAGGCTCTAGAAAGAATATCAGCTTCGTTGCCGCCTTCACGAATAAACCATGTAGAGAATCAAGGTATGAACTCCTCCCAGCATTCAATTCCAATAGGCATACGAGCCACTACTAAACGATAGAATCTTGAAGAGCTCGCCAAGTGTATATCCTGGTTCTCGCCCGTCGACGTGTCTCTGACGTACCATCGGAACTTGATAAAACGAGCAGAGGGTACCTGCGGGTGGCTAACAGGCGCCAAATTTTTCCAAAGCTGGTTTAAGCCAAAGTTGCAAGAGGATGTGGCCCGTACACGTTGGATCTATGGAAACCCCGGAGTTGGCAAGTCTGTTCTCTGTGCCTCTGTTATTAGGCACATCGAAAACTGCCTCGGTGGAAGGGAAGAAGATCTGAGCATCGCGTATTTTTTCTTTGACCACTCTAACCAAGAAAGCCTTACTATTTTGGCTCTCTATCGGACTCTATTAGGCCAACTCCTCTATCATACACCATCTTTTATTGAGTACATCAAACCTATCATGGATTCGGCCCTGAAATACGGAAGGAACCGCATATCGTGGCAGGACAATCCGTCAGAGCTTCTGAAGCAAATAATACGTAAATCTGCCCGCGAAACTCTCCTTATTATAGATGGACTCGACGAGTGTGAAAACCTAAGCCAAGACCTCCAGGGCTTCCTCGAAATACTCCGGGTGAGCAACTCATGCCGCACGTTATTCTTTAGCAGGTCGAATCCAAATCTTCACGAATTTTCGCAGTCATTTCCCTCGATGCGAATTTCGTCGACGTCAACTAAACTCGATATCAACACTTATCTAGTGAATGCTGTCAGCAAGCTTCCAAACTTAACCCTTTCGACATGCAGAGAAGTTATAGCAGCGTTGAACCATCAATGCCAGGGAATCTTCCTCTTGGCGACAATTATGGTTAAGGAACTGGAAAATGCTACTTGTTTAGAGGATGTTGAAGAGGTTCTGCAAGGGCAGCCGAAAGAGCTCCATCTCCTTTATGACAGTATCGCCCAACGGATAACTCGACAGTCGCCGCAGTGGACAAAATTACGCCAAAATATATGGACGCTGTTATGTTGCAGCCCACGGCCACTTCTGTGGAGTGAACTACAAGAGGGTTTAGCGATGTTGAACTCAGGCCGTGTGCCGTCGAAGCAAGACCTAGCTAGGCGGGTCGTATACAAGTCGGTAGTACTCAAAGCCTGCCCTCCTCTTATCGAGTACGAACGTGAGACGGATACATTCCGCATAGCCCACTCGTCAATGTACGAATATCTCACATCGAATAAGAAACCCACGCGCGATTATAAACCTCGTGTTGATCTGGGCGTTGGCCACTATAAGATAGCAGGGATATGTTTGAAATATCTTGTTATGCCTGGAGTGTGTGAACAGCTAGAACTGGACCAGATGAGCTTTCCATATACGAGTTATGCTACGTCGCATTGGTGCTATCATCTGCTCAACTCAAAAGTCGATCACGAACTCCAGGCCAAAGCTATTGCGCTAATCTCATCTCCCGAGCATCGACGTCTGTCGTTAGCAACATGGCTTGCACTCGATAAGAGCGGATTTCCCTTGCAATCAATGCTCAAATCAATCAGATCGGCACAGCGATTAATACAAAGCCTAGAACGGACGAGACACCTCAAGATTGATGAATTAGAGGATATCCTAGAAGTTCTGCTTATTTTAGATTCTCACACGTCCGACAGCGGCATGGGGCACAGGATTACCAATTTTGAGAGGAATATACTTCTGAGGGAATTGGCAAGGGAATACTCTATAGCCGACCGGTTGGAAGAAGGGGTAGAAAAATTCAAGGCCGTTATCGGAAGGGTTAAAGAGGAACAAGATATGAAACCTGAAATATTGTCGTGGGTGATGAGCGGGCTTGGTCTTCTATACGACCAGCAAGGCGATGTAACCCTTGCAATAAGTACTCAACTTGAGGCATTAGAGTCGCAGAAGGATGCAGATGCCAACAGCGGCGTCGATGAGGTCTTGATCGTCAACGAGCTCGGACGCCTCTACAGGCATGATGGTGACCTCGAGAATGCAGAACTTATGCATTTGAGGGCACTTGAGTCGCTTCGCTCCGCGCTACCCGAGACGGACCCTCAAGTCATATGGACCCTGAACACGCTAGCGAGATGCCATCGTAGGCAAGGTCGGCTGGAAGATGCTATCAGACTTCACAGCCAGTCGCGAGAGGCCCAAAGCCGAACCTTGGGAGACGAGCATCCTCATACGCTATGGACTCAAAGCGACCTAGCTAAATGCTTTCGCGACCTAGGCCAGCTTGAAAGAGCCATTGATCTACAGGCGAAAACAACGAAGACCCGCGAGAAGGTACTCGGGCCATTGCATAATGACACACTATGGTCTTTGAATGACCTTGCCCTGATGTATGAACTCTCAGGTTGCTTCCAGACGGCGTTGAAGATTCACGAGCAGGCATTGGATGGCCAACGAAGAACCTTGGGGGATACCAGTCCTACGACTTTATGGTCCGAAGAGGTCGTGAGAAAGCTTGAGTGTAAGGTACGCTCAGATGTAGGCGGGGAGTGTTAAATTGCACCGTGTTCGCAGATGATCGACGCTTATGAGCAAGATTAAGTATCGATACCATCTAGCAAGGACTGAGACATTATATGCATCGTGGAAAATTTAACGTTATACGTATGATAGTTATCTTTGATACAGGTTTCGGTCTTATTTTCATTAGAATTGGCACCTTAGCCACCCAGGGCCTCTCTCCCTCATTAGGGCTTTCGTGCGTGAGCTACGTACCCCTGGCTAGGATGTAGGTAGCCTTTCAATAGTTGCATTTTTCATATACCGAGACAACAACGTGCTATCAGGATCAGACTGTGTCCAAAAGCACGAGCGGATTTTCTTAAAGACCCTATCGCAAAAATCGACCAATATCCATATCCACTTATCGTGTTCGTATAGTGGCTTCCATAGATCGTAAAATGGTTGTTTGTCCCTCACGAACCAGTCCGCTTTGTAAAGCTCAACAAAGTTCCTATCGGCGCTCCTAGGACTCCTGACCCAATAGCCGTGTCCGGTCTTAGCTCCCGCGTCAGCGAGGATACGAATAATATTTGGGTATGCAAAGTATCTTTCCCCTAGTATCAAAGTCAGCACGTCGATTTAAATTATTACTACATATCGAAGATAATCTGTAGATATTACTTAGGGAGACGGGCCTAGGCACTTACTGCTATTCGAAACCAGTCCTCTTACTTTTGCCACGTTTAGTACGTTTCTCAAACGAACAAGCTGGTAAACTCACCAAAGTGATCTTCCCACTCTGTCTCCACGTCAAACAGAAAGTTCTCTGAAAATTTATCCTCGGCCGATGGCTCGCCGATTCGATGCATCGCCCAGTTCCTCAGGAGTCGGCACCGCACCGCATTTCCCGATTCTAAAGCGTGATCAAGTGCCGTCCTCCCTTTTTCGTCTTCGGCGTTTAGGTCGACTTGGAGATCCAGCGCGAATTTCAAACATTCTACTAGAGAATTTTTCGCTAAATTCATTAACGCCGTAACACCTGTCACTGAACACCTCGACTGGTCTAACATGTCTTTCTGGCTTTGGGTCGAATAGCCGGACATGTACTGTCGCAAGAGGAATAAGCATTGCGCATCAGTGATGCAGTAATTATTAGTTAGCCACCAAAGGAAGTCCCTGTTGTAGGAATCCCGGAATACCCTTTGAGCACCTAACTCAAGAAATAGAGTTGTCAGAGCAACGCTTTCTTGGCCACCATCTCGTACATTTTGCAATGCGTGCGCAATGGGTGGGCAATGGTATTCGTCGAGGGCATTGATGCTCAAATATGGACCACCTGCTTGTAGCAAATTCGCGACTATCCTCTTGACGACTGTTGTTTTACCGCCATTCACTATAGCACTACGAAATAAGGAGTGTTGTGCTTGCTCGTCTAGAGATGCCCAATCAGTGCGTTGGATCAGAGCTGTCAGGACTTCAAAGTAATGATCAGGATAAGTCGTCATGAGTGGATTCTGGCCGCACCAAGTATGCAAGGCGGATTTCTTCCATGATATCGCGTCATCAACTAAGCCTGGAGTAACGCCAAGCTCTAATAGAGCAATAAGAGTAGCTCCGTCACCCGAGTCCGCTGCGTCAATTAGAAGCCGCTTACCATCAAAAGTCGCCCCGTATTTCCGGCATACTGAAATACAATTCCGAGATATACCTAGTGATCTTTCCCATCCGCCACGATAAACCCAGTGGCGGAGGAAGTTGCTTCGAAGCAAGTCACCAAAGGCAGAGGATTTAGTTAGCCAGTGGAGCGCAGTGGTTCCTGTTATGATCTCCTTATTGGGGTCGGCGCCATGCTCCAGAAGGAAGGATACCATTTCAAAATCGCCCTGGTATATGGCGGAACTCAAAGGGGTATGCGCATTGTTCAAAGGGAGTACGTCTCCTGCATCCACATCCGCACCTAGATGAAGCAGAATTTGCGCCATCTTTAAAGATCCAACGTGAACTGCCCAGTGTAGCGGGGTACCATGAGGCCAATAAAATGGGAAATGATCAGTGCTAATAGTTAGAGACCGATCCCTTCTCGAGTTCCAATCAGTCCGGCAATTCACACAGCCACCGCTCTGAATTAGCAATACAGCGATATCTTCCGCTTCGTTCTCCTCCATCTGAAATAACCAATGTAAGCAGGATATTCCGAATCGGTTTTCATTAATAGAAGCATCCGCTCCCAGTTTTAACAGCTTCCTAACGGTCAATGCGCTTCCATCTGCACAGGCTTTATATAGAGGTGTTTCTCCAGCATTGTTAACCTGGTCAATTGAGACATTGCCCTTCTCAACAATGCAGCCGATTAGGTCATGTCTACCCAACATCGAGACAAGGTGAAGTATTGTGTTCCCGCCATCATCGATCGGTTGGTTGCTAAGCTCGAGGGGGAATGACCGAGCAAAATCGACGGCCTTCAGGCCGCGTAGAGCTACCATTGGGATGTTCACGAATCCGTTCTCGGCCGAGATTCCCGGGAACGCTTCCATGCCAGCAACCCGCGCCAAAGAGTCAAGGCGCTCCTCGTTATAGCCGCCGCTACCTCTATGTAACTCACGACAGCTAGTTGATCGGCGGTTCCCCTCCTCTTCAAGCTGCCTCACTGCAAACCAGGAACCCGCACAGCCCGCTTTAAAAAGGATATCCTCAACGTCAATTTCAGCCTCCAAATTCCACTCTGGCCTTAGAGCGGCCGCCAGTCTGGGCAATACCTCGCAGGCAGCGCTACTAGGCGTATGTACACGGGTGGCAGCAACGCAACAATCCATAGCAAGATTGCGAAAGTCTGGCTGCAAAGTGGCGCTGTGAATAAACCCTATCGCCATTCCAAATAGAACATCGCCGGCTAGCTGGAGCGACGGGGTGTTAGGAGCAGTAGTCTTGTGATCTTCTATGAGCTGTCGGAGTACAGCTCTTCCCATCTTGGTCCAAAAGACATACTTGTCTTGCCCAGCAGGTGATCCCATTCTCTTCAAGTCTTTATACTCCATTGTAGAGGTAGCAGTTACCCTATAATAATATATAAGCCACCTTTTTACATGAATTATGAGATATTTTATCTAAAGATCTTACCAATCACCATATCCCCGGCAAGACGTATCCTCCAGAAGCTTTATTGACGCTAGCGACCGACAGCGTGGCTCTTCCGGAAGAAGTTTCGCGAAAATACGTCCCGAATGCCTCTCTAGCAGCTCCCTTTCATACAGTGATGTACTTTTACACTGACTGATGGCAGTTGAGGCCTCAATCAGTATAGCATCGGTGCCTCTCCGATTCGAGCCTCCTAGCGGCGATTTCCCATCAAATATTAACGTGGATAACGCAACTAGGCCATACGAGTAACTGTCACATTTGTATAGTAGTTCAGGTCCCACTCGACACCCTTTTAGACTAAAGTCTGTTATTTCTGGAGGCTGCCATCCCGGTGTTGAACGGTATCGCGAATACGTAAGGTCTTCCTTTGGTTCTATCGTAATGCAAAGCCCAAAATCGGCTAATTTAGCAAGATACGGGACTTTGTCGTGATTCCTCATGAAAATCAAAATATTATCTGGCTTCAAGTCCCCATGGACAATATTGCATTGATGCAGGCACTCTAAGCCGGACATGATATCCAGGCATAGCTGATATCTAGACATCGTGGAGAGGCCATTTTGGCACAATATATCCGGAGACTTTAGGAGGGTTGAGAGAGTACAGGCGGCTTGCTCAACGATGAGGACCGGGCTAGGAAACTGAGGATCTCGAGTTGGATAATCATAGCCCCAAGCCTTTAGAGAGACAATATTGGGATGCTGGCGGATTCTGTCGTGGCATAGAGCTTTAACTTCCACCTCCAGAGTTTTCAATCGCCTTCGGAAATCTTCTTTAATCTGAAAAGGGGATCGTTCAGTGATTTCTGCGTCGTTGAGGATTGCGCGCTTCATTACTACGTTACTCGCTGCTCCCCAGATGGGCTTGAAAACGGTAAATTGCGCCCCGCGGCCGATGTGCTTGAAGTAAATAGGGTTATCCAGATGCACCTCGTTAAAGTTGTCTGGACCTTTGATGTTGAACCTTTGCAACACCGAAACGAATTGAGAAACCGAGGTCATAACCGGTATAGATATGCCATATTGGTGGAGGAAAAAAGAGTCGCTAAAGGGGTTCTCTGTGGAAGAATTGGTAATACGGAAACTAAGACTGCCGAAAGACATGTTAAGGGTTTACTAACATTCTTAAGTAACATACAATACGAAATGACCATTCGGTACGGTGAAGCAATCAACGATTAAGAATCTTATGGGTTCGATCCTCGCCCGACCGGCGGTTAGAAGGTCCTCGCGTTTAGGGCGGCGGGGTCCGCATAAGCAACAAGGGGCGTGTCATTATAGGCGTGAGAGAGAACTTTCAGTAAAGCGCAACCAACTTCATATACTACGAAGAGGTAATTTTATTTAAATACATGTACTAAAACGAATGTGAACGCGGCCATACGTATGTTTAAACCGACCCTAGAGCGCACCTCATGAATGCATCTCTCCACGCCGAAATCTGTTTATCAACCCATTCGAATGTTTGTTAAATTTCCTACGCAGAGGTCGAAGCAGGCTGAGCGGATGTACCGCTGGGAATTCCGCCCGGCACGCCGCTTGGAGGAGCACCGCCAGAGCCGCCCGGACCGCCGGCACCAGAGTTGGAGTTGGCGACACCACCTTCCTTGTAGTAGAAAGCAGCCGGAGTAACTGACTGAGACTCAGTGGCATTGATACCGAAAGCGACCCAGGCAAAGAGACCGTCAGTGATGCTTTCGCCAAGAAGCGTGTATTCAAAGAACGGATCGACACCCTCGGTAGCCGTCTCCTCGCTCAAGATGCTGTCATCAGCATTCACGGTCAGCTCTTGAGTATTGGTATTGTAAGGCGCATTAAGCTCGACGGCAGTGATCAAATCCTGGTCAAAGAATGCCTGACCAACATGGCTGGCACTCACGTTGTTGCCAAGGGTCGAGTTGTCGAATAGCACAGCATTCTGGTGAACCATGATATGGATGTGAGTGGCGCGGCTCACATAGTGTCCAGGGAATATGGACTCGAACTGAGCGACGCCGTCAGAATCGGTTTTTTGGATGCCGCGGAGCCAGGTATTATTGATGTTAGTCTCATCCGAAGAGTCTCCGTTACCGTTTGCGACGATACCGCTATATACACCGGTAGCGTTACAATGCCACATCTCCACGTAAACCTCGGGAACAGGCTCGCAAGTATTAACGTCGATCACCTGATAGTCGAGGATGGTGTCAATTCCGGCCTGGTCCTCGATGATGTTCTCCCGGATATACTCGCCACCGACGTCTTGATGTGATATTAGTAACTATGACCCATTGGTACAACATAGGGTACTTACAGTAGGGACCCTGAGTGACATCGGGGGTTAAAAGGCAAGAATTATACCCAGAGAAAAGGGTGGTAGCGCTGGTAGAGGGCGTGTAGCCGAGGTCGGTAGCATTGTGGCTAGTAGCCAAGACGGAGCTGAGGTCGCGCTTTTTCAAGCCTCCTATAGGTAGTTCATTAGCATTTCTAGGTCAGAATAGGCGCTCAACACCCTTTGTTTATCTACGTACTCTTAGCCCGGGCCTTTTGAAGCATGTCAGCTCGGCGCTGGACATTACGATCTGCGACACCGCGCGCTTTCAGCTGAGCAGCGCAGTGGCTTAAGCTAGTGCGCTTAACAGAGCCGAGAAATTCGCGACGTTCTTTGATCTCCTCAGAGATGTCGTGGCCGGGATGGGCAGCAGCAGAGCCGGCTAGTAAGGCTAAGCCAGAGACGATAGAGGTATTGAATCGCATTTTCGCTGTAATCTGTAATAGGTCAAAGAATGATATAAATACTAGTAAACGAAGGGAGTATGTCTGATAGTCTTTTCGATACGAGAGAGCGATGGATGTTGGTGCTCATATTGTGTTAACAGAGTCGGCATCGTCGCCCTCTTATACTACCGCGCTTCTACTCCATGATGATATCTCATTCTTCTCAGAGGTTCTCAAACAACCTGTGGGTCAAGATTCATCATCGCGAGATCTTGGCGGTTGAGGCTTACGTATGTATTGGCGGTCTTGCTATTGGTCGCTCCATAAGGCACAGGGGTAAACATTTGGTTACACTGTTCCCAGAACGGCCTCGCCCGTGATGAGCCCGGCATTCGACATTCTGCAACCCACAAGCTAGCAGCTAGACCGGGGGTTATCCCGGTCTCCTCACAACGACTGCCGCCGGTTCCTACCAATAATAATTATTGTATATCAAATTCCGTCGGAAGAAATAACCCACTTTCTATCCTTAGACCAGAAACCCCGTAGAAGCTGCGTAAGCCTATCTTAAGGACTTTAAACCCACTTTCATGGACTAGCACTTTGACTTCTACTCTGGCTTCTTGTACGAAATATGAAAATGTGGGGTATAGACGCGCGTAAATATCCTCTTGCCAAGTCAATGTTGTCGCGTCAGTCAGCCTCTCCGTTCTAGACATCTAATATTACATGCGCTCCCTACTATTGATTTCCCCTTAATTGTAAATCATTCCCTGATGTACTGAGTCCCGTATGAGATGAGGTAGGTACATATTACCGCGTCGTGACACCGAGTCGGTAGTTAAAAGGCGTTATACCAACCGAGGATGATCCCTAAGAAAGGACAATAGCATAAGTTGTGACATCATAATAAATGCATCGGCAAGTCTAGTATATATATAACTATCCGTTAGAAAGAAGCAGCATTTAACTTCCCTGCTTTTCTTGCTTGGTCTGGTATTTGAGCTCTTCCTACGTTACATGTGGAGGGATGATAGTGCTATTATTCGTGACAAACTCGTTTCCGGAAACCGTATTCGTAATCAATAACCTGTTAGAATAGATATTTAAGTAGACGTCGTATTGGAGATGTATTTTTAGCTAGTATATGAGGGATGTATGAAGATAACACGATGTATCTATCAGGATTCTAGATGAGACATCTAAGACAAAGAACATATATGTATATACGAGCTGTAGGCTCACCAGATAGGTTAGGGTTCCTCGCGGAACTACGAAGTTGTTTCCATGTTGCTTGGTTCCACCTCGTGACAGTATCAAGGGGGGCCAACATGCTTGTTCGTCTTTTTTAATACCAGAGATTCTTCATGCCTTGTTACTTACTAATGAAACTAAGACTTCGAGTTTACTCGATTGAGCCATTATTATACCATAGTCATTGCTTAAGCGTGATACGTGGCTGCTGCCGTCATAGTAAACGAAGACGAAAACGAGGTGAGTCCTAAGGCCCAGTTCATCCAAGCTAAGTTCAAGTGGGAGGACATTGCAGCTAGTTCTTAAACTATTGTTAAAGGATGGGGCTTTAAAGAAGGGCTTCGGAAGCCTTCATGTCGCTCTCCACGTATGTTCACCGACATGTTAGAAATGCGCGCCCTACGATGCCTTCTAAGGATGCGTCCGAATTTTACTAAATAATAATCCGCTATATGCCTATCTTTATTGGTTCATATAGCATATGATTAGACATGTCGTCACACAGGTACCTAACTAAAGTACTTTCAGAACTCATCGAAACAAGAACTCTCACCGCATATCTTTCTCATATGTACCTAGTTAATGTATTACGTCCCAAATTAGCATGGTAAATCCAAGGCGTCATTATGCAAGACGATTTGATCACAACTTCACTCCGCGTTACCTACTAGTTTCTATAGAATCAGGTGGGTTAAAATACTGGCACTTGAGGGGAAAATTCCAGTTAGTTATTTCTTGGTTCCCATACCTCAATTTCTTTCCCCAAATCTCCTAACCTTGGAAGTGCTCAGGTATTCTTGGCTCGCAGAACGGCCCCATACTTTATAGTCTTAGAACTCCTCACGTTATCCTCGATTTCCACCCAGTCCTTTCCAGTCTCTTTAGTAATCGCTACCTAATGTATAAACGCAAACATTCAGTCTTAATCCAACACGTTCAGTTATGGTCCTTTCGGTCACTATTACCCCGAAAGAACATTTATGTCCGGTGGATACCAGGGTTGTTCGTTCTGCCGCCAGGTGAAGAATTCTGCCGGGCTTGCCGCTCTCCTCGATAGGTCAGGATAGTTGAACTCCGGTAACAGGATATTTTCCGTATTGGGGCGGAGGAAGAAGGGACCTAGTGTTCCCGGATATTAGGGAATTTGATTTTACACGACAGGATTTGTGCGATCTTTAAATCGCGTGCGCCGTAGCAATACCGCCCCGGTTTGATTGCCATTACATAGCTTCAGGCATGAATATATGCACTAGGTAGAAAGTCGGGATTCGAGTATATATGAATTTGCGAAGGCTGGAATATTGTGAACATCAACATACGCCTTATATGTATCTCTGGCTCTCTTCGGCATCTTAGTTGATATACCGGTTACAATGTTAGGCGCATCCGCCGTCCTGGCCTTAGCATGCCTCAGCAAGGGCGCCCTCGCCGCATTCGGACTCACTACTACAAGTAACAGATATAAGGTTCGCTAATTATTATTTTTAAATACCTTATATTATACAATACCTGATTGTTGCTATACTAGGTTGACACAAATGGCGGATTGGTATTCGAGGTCGACAGGTCCTGACCACTACTCTAGTGATATGACCAGCAAAGCTAAATAAGTACAGAGCCAATGGAGATATTACCAGTTTGGTATTCAACGGGGCCGAGTACCAGGGAAAGGGAAAGGCTTCGGGTATCAACTCAGGCCTCGGAACGTCGCAACTTTCCGCGGAGACGATAAGCGACCAGTATATCAAGATAACAGCGAAGGCCAATTCACTGCCTGTAACACAGTACTATATAGCGAAGCCGGACGATCCGACTATTTACATGGCAACTTATATCACCGGGGAGGTTGACCCGGGAGAGCTTCGATGGCTTGCCCGCTTACGGCAGGAAAATTTACCCACCGGTGTGCATGGAGACGTCGGCAACACCATCGGCTGCACCGCTTTTGAAGGCAAGGATACGTTTCGATGCCCGAATCAGGAAACTCGCTGCAAGATGTACACGAGCGATCGTTTTATCGACGACCAGATACATGGTGTCTCAGGATCTGTGAGATTCCCCGTATAATATACGACCCGTGTAAAGAATCCTACTAACTTCGTACCTACTGCAGAACGCGGCTGTGTGGATGATCATGCCTGGTGTTGCGTACGAGACTTCGTCGGGAGGGCCATTCATGCGTGACATAAATAGCCAGACCGGTAGCAGCGATCAAGAACTATATTGGTACATGAACAGTGGACATGTTCGAACGGAGGCGTGGCGCTTTGGACTGATGGGACCATACGCCATGAGGTTTACGTATGTTTCCAAACCTTCTATCCGAAAAGGAAAAATTATCTTATAAACCTAACAATTTTACAGCGATAAGGCAGATATGCCTTCTTCTAACTTAGACACGTCCTTCTTTAGTACTCTCGATATCCAGGGCTACGTACCAGATAACCAGCGCGGCTCCGTCTCCGGTACAGCTTCTGGGGTTCCGAAAGATTTCGAAGCTGTCGTCCACTGGTACAACGACAAAGCGCAGTATTGGACTAAAGCTACTAACGGAGCTTTCAAGTCCCCTTTGATGAAGCCGGGCACGTATACTATGAAGCTCTACAAGGGTGAGTACGAGGTAGCCAAAGACACAGTGAATGTTACGGCCGGGAGCGATACAGCCAAAAATATCGCCTCGGCGGAACCAAATCCTTCGGTCGTGTGGCGTATCGGAAATTTTGACGGACAACCCCTGGAGTTGAAGAATGGAGACAAGATTGAACGGATGCATCCCAGCGATGCTCGTATGGGATCTTGGGGAGGTACTTATACAGTCGGCCAATCCTCCGCGCGCGATTTCCCTATGGCCCTCTTCTCAAAGACCGGCGGCAACGCGAAGGTGAACTTCAACCTTGCCGCCACCCAAGTTCGAGATCTCACATTGAGGGTGGGGACCACACTTTCATTCAAGGGTGGTCGTCCATCGGTCGCTATCGGAAGCTGGACCGGAGAGGACCCAGGCGCTCCGGTAAGTCCGCCCAGACGAGATTGCAGAGTGTTCTTGGCAAAAGCTAAATGGTATCTCAGAAGCTAATCGATTCTCGCGGGGTCACTCGCGGAGCATATCGCGGGTACGGCGAGGTCTACACTTGGACAGTTCCTGCGAGTGCCTTGAAAACGGGGCAGAATACCCTCACACTTGGTGTATATGGCTCCGGTGATAATGACTTCCTCAGCGCAAATTATATTGTCGATGCCGTTGAGCTTCAAGGCCCGGCAGAAGGTAATTGAACTATTATTATTATGAGGCAGATAGCAAGTCAACCATCCATTGAACTTTCTTCATGTTCACTTCTAATAATTTTGGGAAATAAAATACCAAGTATTTGAAGATGAAATTCTATTGTGTTTTTATGCTCCCTCCGGTAACAATTTGCGTATTCTTATTGTCCATAACGGAACAGCTAAGTGGCACTATGTAGGATATATTACACAGGCCGAGGGTTCCCCACCACAAGAGCAAATATGCGGTCTTGATGGCGTGCTTTTCTCATCGTAGAACGACCCAGCATCACATGATTAGTATCACTTACAAGTTTATTCGGACAGGAAGCTAGCCTTCAATTACATCCTACGTGACTATGGTTGAAATGGCTAATCCCGAATCTTTCAAAGTTATCATAGCTGGTGGAGGCATTGCTGGTTTGGCCTTGGCCAACGCTTTGGAGAAGGCCGGTGTTGACTTTCTTCTGCTAGAAAAAAGAGAAATTGCTCCTCAAACCGGGGCCTCTATCATCATACAATGCCACACTGCAAGGATATTGGAGCAGTTGGGCATTTGGAGAGAAATATGTGCGGCAACATTTTCGCTCGAAGGTCGCCTCCATTTCGATGAACGTGGAAATCTGTTTGACAGCTCACCCATTTTCAAGCTGGTAGAAGAAACGACGAGACGACCAATCGTGCTTATTGAGCGTCGTTTCTTTCTTGATACGCTATATAATTGTCTTAAGGACAAGTCTCGAGTTCTCACGAATATCGGCGTGGCGTCTTTTTGGGAGGATGAGCATGGCATAACAGTCATAACCGACCACGGGGATAGCATCAGGGGTAGTATTCTCGTAGCAGCTGATGGTGTTCATAGCACAATCCGCGGTCTCTTAGCTAGCGCGGTATCCGAGACCGATCCTGAGAGATTCCAATATCTTACTAAAGGTACGTCAACTTGTTCTCGTAGGAAGGGGTCACCTTTAGGTAACATATCCCATAAGGGTTCACTTCTAGCTACAGGGCAGTCTTCGGTACGTCGGCAAATGGTCTAAGGGACGGTTCGACGAGGCCGCTACTACCGGAAGGAATAGTTCACCATGTTTATCACAGGAATGTTTCAGGACTCGCAGCAGCAGGAGCAAAAGGACTCCTTTTTTGGTTCCTATTCATAAAAGAAGAAAACCCCTCAACAACGCCTAACTGTCCGCGGTACACGGAGACTGACACTATAGAAACTATTGAGAAGTACGGAAATCTATTTGCGTGTCCAGGGTACACATTCCGCGACCTCTGGGGGGCTAGGTCTCATGCAGGCATGGTTTCCATGGAAGAAGGAGTGGTTCAAGGGCCTTGGAATAACGGCGGTCGGGTTGTACTTGTTGGAGACTCCATATGCAAGGTAAGACTCGAGTCACTTTTAAAGTCTACCTGCGTAACTAGTAGATATCAAGTTGACATTTGTTACAGACAACAGTCAATTCCGGGTTTGGGGGTAACCTAGCTGTTGAAGGGGTCTGCAACCTTGTTAACAGGCTAGTGTCATTGCTGCAAAGAAATCAAACGCCCACAACCAAAGATATCGTAGCTACCTTTGATAGATACGAGCAAGCACAACGTCCGAGGGCCGATATTTCTGTAAAGATATCACACTCTACTACCCGGTATGAGTCAATGGACTCACTTTGGTTACGATTCTTGCGGTGGCTTTCTCCTTGGGTCCCTCTAAGTTACCAGGTTAAGAGATTTCTAAGTTATATGAATCCAGCACCTATTCTAGAATTTCTGCCCGACCCCGACTCGGGCAGACATTGACTTTGGCTAATTCGTTTAAGAATGAAGAGTAGGAGTTTGAGATATAGGTATAACAGACTAAGGCTCGAGAAGATAACAAAGCCAACCCACAAGAATCTACCCAGTTGGGAATGTTAAAGACCTCTTCACTAAATTCATTTTCACGAGTTAGCGGATACACCATGAGTGAAATAACTGATTATTATTATCAGCAGCTCTGATTCCGGTTCGCGTAGTCTTTCTTACAAGGACCCATTCATCTAGATGTCTAAAGAAAGCATATTGAGAGACTACTTAATCTACTCAAATTATCCGACCTAACTGCGGGATAAATCATCCGTATCCAGGTATCAATTTCCATTCAGGATCTCTTGAAGACGAGCTCGTACCGTCTTCCCTTTAACATCCGGATACAACTCCTTGAAATCCAGGTATCCTAGATACGATGCCATCTCAGGAGTATTGTCTCCTCGAAGTCCCCATGAATCTATGTATTGATTCAGAATGAGGTTGAACTTAGCAGTTGGTTCGCCAGGGTTCTTTTGTAGGGAAGATCGCGCCGAAGCAATGGCCTTGTGTACCTCGTCTGCGCTCAGCTGGGGCGATGTTATATCAGCTTCACTATTCGTAGAAGGCTTCTGGCCCTCAGCCCATTTGACTCACATAATTCCTTGCGACTTTTTCTCCGCTGAGCTCCTCCAACAGGTCCCTCATTTGGATTGCATTGATTGTTTCAGTATGCGCAAAGACCTTCTTGTTGAGAGTTCTTGGGTCGGCAATAATTTTTGCCACATACGTTCCGACGTCTGGCAAGTTTGTATACGCCACGGGTACCGATCCGTCGCCAGGAATTATGTCGAGCACTTTGATACTTACGTGATCTGTTCGGCCTGAAGGTATGGCCGGTACTGACTGGTCGATCCACCACCCAACATCTATCACAGTGTATGGCAAATACAGGCGTTGGATAGCCGCAAGGATATCATCTTTCTACGACCATGGTCAGTTTGCCACCAAAATTACTGTTAGTATGGGAACATACCTCGTCATACATATCCATTACGCCTCTTGGTGCTGGAGTGCTAAAATTGCATGGCACAAATCTCTTTACGCCAGCTTGTTTCGCTGCCTCGGCCAAAGGTATCTGATCACCTAGGCTAGAGAATACTATGCACGATATTACTATATCAATGCCTGTGACCGCTTTAACAAGATCATCCTTCGGACCGGTCAAGTCCGCAGCTACGATGCGAACGCCGCGGCTTTTGAGTTCATTATTAGCCTCGCTATTGACGGAGGTAGGCCGTGTAAGAGCAGTAATATCCTGAGGATTCTGGTCAGCCAACTGGAAAAGGATCATTGTATGAAGGCTTCAAACAAATTGCGTCTCGGAAGCCAGCAACCCGTTCAATATTGAGCTTCCTGTTCGACCAGTGGCGCCTACTATGCCAACCCTGATTGCTGTAGACATTTTTGCTAGGTTCAATTCGACGATTTCGGGTAGAATGAGAAACTTGGTACCTAAATATCATGTATCAATATAGTTCCAAGATTCTTCCGATTTCGTGGATCTCCTCGGTACTTTATATTCCGATACAATCCTGACTTGGAGTTCTCAGATCATTATTAATTGATGGCTTGTATGAGTGCGAAGATAATGGAACAATTTGATGGGAACCCCTTAATTGATAAGCAACACGAGAAACCTCACAGAGGGCATTTGTCAGCAAGACAATGTAAGTTAGGCGGCAAGTAGTGAGTTTCTAATCGACGGAACTATAGATGACAGAATAACGTCCACATCTCCAAATATGATACGCTAAATAAATAAAAAAGCGGTACAGTCAGACCTTACCATAACTACGGAAGTCCCCTTCAAAAGTTCTGTCCATATCAAGCGCCCGTCAACCTAAAGACTTCGAAAATAACCCTGTCTGGTTTGGAGAAGATAGTTCAATTCCTCCCAGACCCATATCATTGACTCATTAATGGCAAGATCAGATAATCATGTATTCCGAGCGCCTCGAGATAAAAAGCACGGATTAAATGATAGTAAATTTCATGAATTACCTATGAGAAGGTCAATATCTCCGTCATAGATAGCAACAATAATGCCAGTAAAGCGAGCAGGTGGAGTAATTGCAGGAAGAGAAAATGCCTACCTAAAAGATAAAATATATTGAGCAGCTAAACTGTCCTCGCGAGGAATTCGGAATGCCCAACTGGTAAGTCTAATACATGGCATAGCCCTACGCGAATGAGTAATTAGTACTAAATAAGGCCCAGAATATAACGCAGGCAATAAGTCAACCTACTCCAGAGGCGCTGATCGTTTGGCCTGTAATCCAATCCCCGTCCTTGCCAGCCAAACTCGCAACTATATTTGCAACTTCAGAAACTGTTCCTATCCTGTTTTCGACCGCCGTCAGAGTCTTCTGGAGTTCCACGAGATCTTTTGGGATATTGTCTAGCATGTCGCTCTGGACGGGTCCTGGATTTACACAGTTGACCGTTGTTCCATTGCCACCTAGCTCTTGGGCCCATGTCCGAGTCAAACCCTCCAGTGCCGCCTTCGAAGAACCGTAGAGGCAAAATTTCTTGAAGCCACCTCTCGAGGCGACGGAACCGATGTTGATAATACGTCCATGGCTATTCAGGTGAGGTAGAACGGCCTGAGTCAAGAGCAATGGACCGCGCACGTTCAAGTTGTAGACGGTATTATAATCGTCAACGGTCAGCTCAGCTAGGGTGCTCGAATTTTCCACACCGGCGTTATTAACGAGTATGTCGACCCTGAGATTTTGCTCGCTCCATGCGAGAAGGTCGTTAATAAGAATTTGGGGGCCTTCAAGGGTACTAAGGTCAACTCGACAAGCGTGAACGCGAGGCTTGTGCGGAAAAGATTCAATAGTTCGGCGAATTTCCTCAACGAGGTCCTCGCTGCCTTTAGACACGTAGGTCAAAACTACCTTAACTCCAAATTAGTCATTCTATATTCTTTCAACGAACCATGATTCTACGAAGATCATACTGTTGCTCCTCGGCGCGCGAGCTCCACTGCGATTCCTTTCCCAATACCCCTGGATGCTCCGGTCACGATAGCAACCTTGTTAGAAAGCGGAAGATTAAATTCTGACATTTCAGTGATTTTAGATGCCTAGGGTAGCTACACTTCTAAGCTGTTTTGTACTGTTTAGAGAAGGACTTTTATCTCCTAAAGCTAACTTAGAATGCCCCCCTTCTAAATATACACTTTGGAAAAGATTGCCGTCATATTCTGATTCGGCTTTGATGTACTAAACGCCGATCAGTTCCAATATCCGAATAAAGTTTATTGCCACCAATGTCCCTCGTTATCATGCTCTATCGTAGACATCGAATAGGTGATAACTAAACTTATCTCCGCGTGGCCAAACACACCGTTGACTCATACCTAGTATCATATGACGTTATACATTATGAATAGAAACCTGAGAATTGACAGTCGTGAGAGAAAAGAGCAAGGAAAATAGACAAGATCATATTTAATTCTTTCTCTACCTCATTTGATACATAGACGTGTCCACTATATCGTGCTTTCTGTGAGTGGGCTACCCACTAACCTGGGTAGTAGTTCGAAGACGACGCAGCTGGGCAGATAGAAGGTGCCTAACCTAGGTATTCAGTGATTCAGTGAAAACAGCACACAGAGAGCAAACTTAAAAGGGTCGATTTCATCTACAATTTCCATGAACAGTAGTAAAAGATAGAGATATAATTTGAGCTGAACGTGTCGCGCCACGGCACCGATTATCCCAATAAAGTCTCTAGTTAAGATACGTCAAGAGGAAATAAATATACACAAGCTATGTCTACACACATATATATACATATACTCATTACACCGGTCTTAAATCATTTATATATCCAAGCATATCCCGTTTCTCATCACATACGCGTGCAAATTCGAGCAGTAGTCTCCAAACATAAAGCAACATGTCTTCTCTCCTGAGTACCTTTGAGCCCCAAGATCTACCTTCTTCGGCAATGAAGCGCGCAGAGACGTCGCCTTTTCTATCCCGAGTAAAATAATCGAGTATGGCGTATAGATCCTGAAAGGTGTTATCCATAGGAGCAAAATGTAGCCACGGAACCAGGCGGTCGTCATGCCATTCTGAGTATATGGTAGCCTTGAGCGGAAGGGATGTTGACAGCAGAAACCCTCTAAATCTCGCACTGAAACTGTTCCCGTCGACATCGGGCATGAACTTATACTTATATTGCTCCTTCATGGGAATACTCTGCACTTCAGAGAAGTAAGGTCGGACATAAGTGCAGTTGGAATCCGCTGGAAAGCAAAGTAGATTGACAAAACCAGCGTCGGAAAACTCTTGTAACCAAGTGCCAACGGTTCCCTCGCGTCGTCGGGGGAAATCATACTTTTGCATTGATGGCATCTCGAACGTCATGGCGCGGGAGCTGTGCTCCTCTATTCCTGACACAGTTGTTCCGTTTAGCATCTCTATAAGTCGATGCCGCTGAAAATGAAACCAGTTCTCTTTCTTGTTTCGACCCCCAGATGCGACACCTCGCCATACGACTCCATTAGTCTTCCTCCGCCAAGACGGCCCGTGAGTATCTCCGCCGGAATAGAAAGGGTCGTCTGTCAAGTACATAGCGCCAGGGATAAGTATCTCGTTATTTACAAGTAGCTTACATCCACCAAATAACGGGATAAGCTCCTTGCTCGTTGACATCGTGAGGGGCTCAACGAACGTGCCGTGCATGCCACGGAGGTGGGGCTGGACGCAGGGATCCGTAGCGGCCGTAAAGTTTCGGACATATCCTTTGTATGAGTACTCAGGTTCCCAGTCTTCTGGGAACACAGGCAGTTCCTCCAAATTTTGAATTGGTGCCACGTTACGCGATGGAGAATCGGGAGCACAAGCCACTCGTGTGAGGTCCCAGTAACTTCCCCCAAGCCAATTCGGATTATAGGGTGAGGCATCGTCGGCCTTAGCATCAACCTCAGCAAGGCCGCTATATTTCGTCACCACCTCGCCAAAAGGCTTTGCCAAGCGGCTTGCCTGCTCTTTCTCCATCAGAGTCGCCATGTCTTCCCAAGGAACAATCAACCGAGATTCGTCCATATAATTGATAGGCATATCGACGTCCGGCAACCACGGCGCAGCTTCGGCCACCAAGCCAGTCCATAGTTGTAGCCAAGGAACCTTGCCTTGTGTGTTGCCTACACCGCTAGCGACGCCTTTGCGGACGCGTACGACGTAATCCCACGACGCGGCTCGTTCGGCAGTCGTCCGGGGGTCGAGTCCCCAGAACGGCGCAATGTCAGCATATATCCTATCGAAGAAAGACTCGACGATTATCGCCTCGTGTTCTGTCGCATATTGAAACCAGGCATCAAATCCCGGAGGGGGATGTCGCCCTCGTCTCTCGCGATAGCGGGCTGCAGCCGTGGGAAGGTCGAAGCTCCGCTGCTTGAGCAAGTTCTCGTGAAAAGTGTGCGCATCGCTGATAAGATGATCGATGGGATGGTCCGCGGTGCGATTCCAAAAGTATTCAAAGTAATGGGATCCGGTATTACGGAGAAAGCCCTCGGGACGGCGGAACAAGAAGATACCGGATAGGGTTATAGAGACGACAAAGGCGACGGCGGCATAGCGAAGTATAGATTGCCATCTTAGAGAACAGATGCGACCGTCTGGGAGGCTAGCTAGCCTTTCGCGAATATTATAAGTGCTTAACATCGAAACTTGTCGGTATGGGAGAAATTTTTTCTTTTTCTTCTTCTTTCGTTTTTATTTCCCACTATCTCGACTAATTAATCAAAATAGGTATAGACTTGGCAGACCTCATGATGATGGCTACAGTTCGAAGCGAAGCGAAGCAATTTATCAAGTGGAAAACAATATACAAGATCGTTAGGAGTGAAAAGAATGGAATGAATATTTCACGTGGTGAATCAAAAGACACAAAAATCCCAAGCTCTCATTAACGCGCCTCGTCGATGCCACCATGCCACCCCCTAGTGGCAGTACTTACGTATGCCTAACCCATCAACCAAATTTCATGCCGCTCGTTATTGTAACTACACTACTAATGATGATGTTAGTCTAGCCCAGATAGACTTTTGAGCAGCACCAATCGAGCTGGACCGTTGTGGTCTTGGCTGATTCCTTTACCCCAACTTCATGATAAAGAGGCATGTACTCACTACACTCGACGAGTTCAAAGCTGCCGATCATCGATCAGATAACGAAGGACCATTAGGTATTAGGTACAAAACTATTGACTCGGGCGAAGCGAGAGGGATGGGAACCATGTTTAAAGTAACCTATTTTAGAATTAGTCAGTCGCCATCTCCGCAGGCTTCTCTCATATGTATGTACATTCCTAGCCACCTTGGCTGATCAGCCAGTTGTATGCTGCCGTTCAGCTATTTGTTTGCTCTCCACTCTCCAGTCTAATCGTGGTGACGGAACAGGGGTCTTCGTGAAGAGTCCCCACCCCTTTTATTCAAACATACCAGATACTCGGAAATTAACTAGATCTTATAAAGAAGCATATCAGCGTGCATTATCATATCGATTACGAATACATTTATGACTCTGTGGAATCATGGAGCAAAGTATGACGGACGCATACAAGGTACTTGGTACATATCAGGCGTATTAGGCATTCAAAATACTCATTTCCTTAATATCTATTTGCGGTATGTTCGTTTTAAGTTTTAAGCTTCGTATAATAGAGTTAGCTCAAGACTGTCAAGCTCCTAGGGTCTTGGAAAGTTCGTCTGAACTTTTAACTTAGTGAAGCTGCTATATATACGTTGAAGTTTAAGCTATTATACAGCCCACCAAATTAAATACCAACGTCAGGCCAAGCTAAAGGCCAAAATGTTAGGTCCTAACACCTGTGGTGGCGCCCCTTTTCTTCCGTAAAAACTCGGTCTCTTTGTCCTTTCGCCATTGACAACTTTCCGCAAACTCACATGACCTACACTTATAAGTTTCTTCGATGGAGACACCTTCAGCGTCCCTCTCGCCGCGCCACCACTTGAGATTCTGTTTGAGGTACCCTTCTAAAGCCTCGGGATCGTTAGGAAACGAATTAATACCGAGAATGCGACTATCCTCCCTATGGCGATACTGGACAGCGAGAAGTTCGCCGATAGTGGCGGCGCCCTGCGGGAAGGTTTCGCGCAGTTCCGACTGTAATAGCGGAAGTATCTGTGTAATGGATCGATATCTGATTAGATCCTGAGGAAGCTGATCTGAAGATGAATCCGGCCAATCGGTATCATCCCCACTACGCGTAGAATAAGACGACGAAGCGCCACCAACATCCGAATCCGCGTCGTAAAATATTTCATCGTGTAAGTCGCCTACCTGAGCCATGAAAGCATCGGAAAACAAGGCATCGGCTATAAGGCCATATCGATCCAAGATAGCAGTAAAATCTACCACGCCGGAGGCCATTTCGCCCAAAAGTCGATGGTACAAGAATAGCTGGACCCTGGCGGGCCTGAGCGCGACGCCGGTAGGCAGTCTATCCGAACCTCTTGTTTTGACATCAGTCAAGTAAAACTTTTTACGGGGCGGTTCCAAAAAGTCTGTCATGGACGTCTGCTGTTTCGAATAGCTTGTGGTGAAGCCCTTGGATGATTCGGATTGGCTGAGCTCTTGCTCAAAGTCAGCATTCGGACTATCATGGCTCACTTCGTCTATGATGCCGTTTACCACTTGACCTTCGATGATCCCCCATACTTCAAGCTCTCTAGTCATGCCAACATCCCGGAGTGTACGTAGGCCCTGGATGACGTTCCATATTCGTAGTGCAAACGCCTCTTCTTTGGTGGTAATGCTGACTTGGACCGTGGTGTGCACCTGATCTTCTAAGGTTTGATGGACACGAGTGCCACCCCGCATTGCCGCCGTTCTCGTCTTCCTCCCTCCGGGTAGCAGGGTAAGCGTGTACCAGTACTGTAGCTCGCACCAAGCACCAGAAGCCAAGTCGGAGACCGTGAGCGGCTTTTTGGGAAAGGAACGAAAACGCTGCAGGGGAGAAGGGGCATCTTTCGGAGGCTCGGTGGGTTGTAATTTGGACGTTTTATTAGATCTAGAATCGGATAGGATACGACTTACTGGGCGCTGGTAGTTAGTTAGACGTGCCATGTACTAGATACGAATATATATTGCTCGGAGAACTCACGATCCGGGTATTGGACGCCACCTAATGGCAAAGACGATGTTGCATACGGGTTCGAGTCGAGAGATTTGTGAACAGTGGCGGGCTCTTCGATCTTAGTGGGAAGGGAACCGTTGGGGCGAGTACATATACTCGACGCATGATGCTTATCATCTTGAATAAGTAGCACGGGTGGAATATCTAAGCTACTAGCAGTCGTTACAGTGGTGCCAGCGGGTGAGGCGATGGGAGAAACGACGAGAGAAACAAGTTGTGTAGAATTGGGAGCGGTAGTTGTAGTGTTGCTTTGCAATGGTGTATTATCCCCCAAGTCCTTTAATAGCTTATTTACAATATCTTCCTCTCCTATCGAAAAGTCAGATCCGTAGTCGCTCTCGCCGTCGTCGCCCAAGGTTGGAGCCATGAATATCAGCTATTCGGCAAGTAAACCGACCATCACGATGTATTGAGCGTTAAAGTAAAGTAATAAGTAATATATAAGCTATTAGCTAGTGCGGTTATAACATAGGAAGTCGAAGTCGAGTCATGGTTGACTCAAATTCTTTAGAATGTTGACAACATTTAGAGTCAACAACAATTGGAACACGTTGATGATTTGATTGTTTTGATGATATTCCAGGTATTGTACTTAGTACCTAGAGTGGCGGGGTTAAGGTACCTGTAAGAGAGCGATAAAACATACCTATGAGGTACATATGTATTGTACTTTATACACGTGGACATTCCCCCAGGCTCTCGACGCGCTAAAGCAGCCTAGGAGGTAGCCAGTTGCGCAGTCGCGTCATCACATGGCAATTAGTAGGGCCATTTAGGCAGCTACCCGGAGCAAGAGGTAACTCTCAAGTACTACAACCTTTAAACTCATTTAGATCTCAAGTTTAATCCAACTAATTTTCAACTCACTTATCCTTTCGAATAGTCTTGTTGCCTATATTGCATCGACGCCTAGTGATTATATCGCCACTTAAACTATACGTCTACTTGCGCATCGAGCGAACAAGCCATGCTGGACCCTCAAAACAAAATAAAGCTAAGCATTTAGGCAGCAGGATGATACAAAGCAATTGAAATTTCTCCTTCGTGTTCAGATGCAATATCCAGCAGTTTCATTGGGAGCGTATTACAATTGTCTTCTCTTTTTTTTCCTCTCTTTTTTTTATCGTCAACCGGTTGGCTACCTGGGTCTATACGGGTATCTCTTGGCAGGCTCATACTCCTATGGCCACCTAAACACGCCAATCCGATAGTAATCTAACCTTGACAAGAGAATTACAACCCGTCCAAACAATGGACATTACCTACCGTGGTCATACGTTCCAATTAGGCCTAGATGGAAAACCTGTTACTAGGTCTCCCTCTAGCGGGGCAAGAAGCTTTGAAAATTTACCACCAGAGATACATCTTCTAATCAGTCGACACCTCACGTATCCCGATGCCTTATCTCTAAAACATGCCAGCAGATACTTCTACTGCCTTGTTGATACCGGGCTTAAGCTCAAGGTGGATTGGCTGATCGAGCGTCGGAGCTTGCACTTGGAGTGTCCGAACGATCGTCGCTGCGACCTAGGGAGCGACTTGAAGTTCTGCAGAGGTAGCGTCAGGTAAGGATTGTGCGGCGAACTTAGGGACGAATGCGCCAAGGCAGCAGCCTCATATCGTCCTGGGTGAAGAAATGGCGTTAAGAAGTAGCGTTACTAAATAATATTGATCTCAGGTTACTCATGCAGCGGCGTCGCGAACACGCAGAATGCGAATCTCGTCCCGGTTTAGGGTGCCTCGTATATGGGACGGCAAAATGTGCACATCGGCGCCAGCTGAAATGGCGCATCAAGCGATGGCTCCGTTCCCGTCTTACTATCGAACTCTGGTGGTGTCTAGTGCCTTTAGTTCCCGTTCTCTTGGGATGCCTATGGGTGGCAGAATTCGCAAGATGGCACGCCAAAGAATAAGTTATGTTTAGAGGTTTAGGCATTATAATACTGAAATGGCTATTTAGCTATCTTATATAATTTCAAAGTCCGATACAGATATTCTGTATGTGGGAGTAAACACTAAGTAATGAAGGTTACAAACTTACGCCCTGGTGATGTTAATATGATATTAATGAAGCTACTCGAAACATATAAATGAGAAGCTACTTGACCTTCCACCTATTTTAACATTTCAAAGCCTCGACAGTGAGAGAGCTGACTACCCAATGTGTATTAAGTCACCCTTAGATTTAACATCCCGAGATTGACAGCGCAATATATACTTGTCTCGGTAGATATCATAGAGAAATTCTAGGTTGATTGAGGGGTCTCCGATGGCTCATTATACAAGGCTACTCAGGTTGGCTCAGTGTCTTGATATCACTCATGTTCATGAATAGGGGATACATTACACAGTACGAACAGACAGTAAATGTACCACCACGCACATGACATTGATATGTATTTTCTAACCTATAATTTTAGCTACAGTCTCAACGATGTTCCCACTCAAACCTGCGATTTATACCTGAACTAATATACCTTTATTTGGTTTATATACCGTGGCATGCACCTTTATTGCCAATTGTATTGCTAACAACTCCAAGGCCTTCGCCTACTGCTCCATCATGTCTTCAACGAGGCACTGGTTGGACAAAGTCTACCTTGTGTATTTCCTTATCCATCTACCCGTCTTGTTCTGTAAGTATATGATCAAATATTTTCACGTCTCGTTTCTGTTGGATTGTTTGGATAAAAGCCAAGGCTTTCAAAATAAATATTATGATTTTTAGCAACACGACAACCAGATACCATGTGTTCCTCCAGCTTATGATCCTCCCATCTAACATCCGCAGGTGTTGACCTCGTACCACTCTACCCAACATCTCTCTGGGTACCACCTTCGTCCCCATTTCACTTTCTATACGAGTTGCGGGTTTATTACATAAATACGTATAATGATCAGTTCTTCGCACCACCGCCGGCAACCATCCCGAGCTTCTTCCCGTTATTCGCTTTCCTAGAGCTCGTCTTCCATCTACCCGTGTCACTATGGGCAGTCCGTGCGCTCTCTACCGGCGGACTAAACGGTAATGCCGAATTGCTGCTCCTCGTATACGGAATCGAGACGGCATTGACTACCGCGACTTGCATGTACGAAGCATTCCTCTGGGACCCAGCCGTGGTGACCGCTGAGCAGAAGGTGGTACTACTAGGTGGCCTGTACGGAGGATACCTTGCCATTGGTAAGTTCGATATTAATCAATTGGATGTGCCCAAGGCATACTAACTGCAGAGTAGCTGTCCTGTTGACTGTCGACATGTATACACGCCTGCTGAAACGTATCAACTCGCTTGAGACTAGGAAGAAAATCCAGTAGTAACCAGTCTAAATTCGAAACGCAAAGGTGCTAGTATCACGAGTGGACATTGCGGAATAGAGGATATGGGTATTGACGTTGTTTATCAATTGTAGCTACCTTTTCCCTTCATTTGGTATCATCGCCGTAACTATATTTTAATACAACCGATAGCCCTCAAGGTCATACATAACGACGCGCACAGCCCCTCGTCGTCTTCATGATATTTACAAGATTCCGTAATTTTCCGAGTCGAAAAGCTATGCTAAACGACTTCAATCCATTCTTTTTGAGTAGCCCCATCCGTTGCCTACGCCGTTTAGCCCGTAAGCTAAAGGCGTAGCACCACCGAGGCCGCGACCCTTCAGTCGCTTAGGCAGGATAACGCCAAAGAAATAAACGCCAGAAACCAGAACGCCGGCAATAAATGATACGAGGGCATAAAATACGGTGCTAGCGTAGATATGCCCACCCATGCCCTGCCACTCGACTTTACCCTCAGTCTTGGGAAGTGATGGGGTTGGGAACCACCTAACGCTAAAACTTAGGGGTAGAGGATCTCCAATGACCAGTCTCTTGGTAAAGCTACCATCCATATGGCTAAGTGGGCTCGTGCTATATGCGGCGCCGCTATCTAGGACACCGCTATCATGGGGGTGGATGTGATGCTTTGGTGTGCTGTGCAGGAGGATATTGAGATGGGTGCTGATATGCAGATGGCTAAGCTGCAAAGTGCCGGCCAAGGCGAATACGAGCGGTATATACTCTTGCTCGTACGGCTTCTCGCCGACTATCTCAATGTGGGCAGGAGGCCGAGCAGGAAGACGACAAGCAAGGGGAGCGTCGCTATGGATATAGAACTCCAACAGATGGAAAAAAGGGTCATCTATCATAGGGATAGTACAGTTCATCTCGTCTTCGACACCGTAACTGAACTCGAGAGACTTGCCGGTCTCGTTGCAGGTTGGAAAAGGGATCCATTGGATCTCGTCCTTAGCATTCTGGATATGTTCGCCGGTCTCTCTGACGACGTTGGGTCAGCAAGTGTCGGTCGGGTCGCGCGCAAATAAACTTACACGCTCCTGTTCATGCATTCGACGGCGATCGGTGCGCCATAGTGGTAAGATGGTAGACCACCTTCTTTAAGACTGGCGCTCGCTGTGACTATGGAGACTATGGGGAAGAAGAGCGGCAACGCGCCTAGGATCAAGCGCGCAATTGAAGGCATAATTCGATTGCCTCGGTATTAATATTTCAGCCGTCGAAAGGACATGTCGAGTTTTAGACTAATGGCTGTCTACGCCTATCGGGCGAATATAGAAATCATAGAAATGGAAAAAAAAAAAGGACAAAGGGCTAACTTTAAGTATGTATTAAACGGCGATCCGCTGCTACGGAGCTGCTGCTGCTATGTACGACGAGTTTAACGGTCTTATCGATAGATATCCATCCGTTTACACGCATATATTTTAGGAACTATTGAATGCAGGATGTAAGGTACGTAGGTACGTAGGTAGTCAAAGTATAAAGATCAATACATTGTTACTTCTTCATCTCATACCTACTAATACCGTTAATAAACACACACATAATCATACCCTAACCATCAACACTCCATCGTCTCACAATTCAAGACCTCCTTTTCGCGAACCCGGCTTCAGACAAGTAGCTAGAATCGCTGTCCAACTTAAATCCCATCCCTCACCATTATACTTCTCTTTAAGATGATTCACGATGTGCTCATCTAAAATGTCTTGCGCTTTTCTCTTACTCTCTTCGCTCCAGTACGTATTAACCATCCAATCCTTCATCATTCTATAACTGTAGAGATAGTCCTCGGCACTATTCACACGAACCACCTGAGGCACAGTTTTAACTTGAACATTATCAAACCCATACGCTTTCAGTTCCTCCTCTATACCCTTCGGATCCGTCCACTGGAGCTTCCCGTGGATTGCCATGGGTACCGGGTCAGGCATAGGCGCGTCGAATGGCAGCGCCTTGAAGCACGACCTCATATCAGGGGTCCATCCCTTAGTGTCTCTGTGCCAGGTGCTAAAAGCTAACACGCCACCTGGTTTAAGGATCCGCATCGTGTCTGGAAGTTTGTTAGAAACAATTCTACCGTCTTATCTTCACTAAGAACATACCCGCTAACACGGCCTCCGGCTTTGGGATTACGTGCATAGCAAAATTGAGGGTTACATGAGTGAAAGACTCTTCCAGAAAGTCCGAACGCTATTGGAATGAGTCAGGTATCATTTGTTACGAATACGGTCGTGATCGAACAAACCTGAGCATCAACGACGGCTGCCTCAACGTTTGTCCAGCCATACTTGGTAGCACGCCTCTTCAATATATTCACAAGGTTTTCATTGAAGTCGGCACAAATCACCTTGCTCTCTAGCAACACTTTACGGTCAATATGGTCCTGCAAGTGCGCCACAATAGGACCGGTCCCGCAAGCATTGTCGAGTAGTGTGAAAGGCTTGCTTGTCGACTCGTCGAGGCCCGCTTGTGTGAGCAACAGCCCAGCAGGACCTCTCATGATTCGTTCCGAGCCTGCAATCGTCCGCTCCAAGTCATCATCGGTAAGGCCTCCGGCAAAGCTTCCGTATAGCTTCTGTAGCTCTTTCTGTTCAGCACTCGTCATGATGAGCAACGGATGGCTAGTGATAAGGAGAAGTATACACGCTTTGGGTACTAATAAGCAACGTTCTTAGCACAACAAGTCTACTTTGCTCTGGGTCATATTATTTAACGACCGTTCCTCGTGTCTAATTTATAAACGCCGGCAGGCTGTGTCTACCGGGATTATGTCCCCGGAAAGTCTCCGAGTTGGGGCATTGGTGGAAAACCTTGAGGGCTAACAGTTAATGAAGTTTCTTTATTGGAGTCCTAGTTCTTCACGTGTTGGGGGTCGGTATATAGCATTTAAACATGTCTCATTGCTCATTATGTGATACGTGGCAGCTATGACCCATTGGCGACAATGTATACATTTTTCATTATATTCATATTACCTACGCTGATTAATTATGAATCAATACCTAGCATTGGGTCATAATCGCAACACGAAGGGTCGCTACGTAATTAGGAATATATCCGACCTACCCTGTAGCCATATGTTTTAAGTCTTTGGAACTATATCATGATAAAGCCATTTATTTACGGGAAAACTTTTCGACAACGCAACTCTGGTGAATTCTTGATAATACCTGAAAACCACATGCCCAGGTTAACCCAGAATGTAATTGATTGCAGATTTTCTCAACTAAGAAGCTCGAATCGATCACTTAGAGTTGAGTTATGCGTGCCTCGCGGTATATTCATCCATCCAAAGAACGCTACGGAAACATGCTCCGCGGGATCCCGTAGCTACTAATGCTGCCTATCCTACTCCCCATAGACACTAACCGGCATCGTAATATCACCACTGGAATATCTCCGCCTGTTGATTCGATTGCATCACCGACAACAACTCGCTTCGGCCAAACCAGGTCTGACCTTGCTAACAACACGTTGAATGCACAGTATTCGTATACTAGAATGCCGAGACGCCTATTATCACTTTCTTTTTAACCCCATTGTATAGAGCCTTGCTATTCAAACACCCGGCACATAACAAGCCGCCTAATATCTCGAGCTTCCAAATTCCGAGCAACCCCTCAGACTAGGATTACCCTTTCTCAATAGAAACCCATACTCCTATTAGCTATTGGTGATGCGACGAATCCCTCCACAGCTCGCTTTATTTCTTTCACGCTGCGTGCAATATCTCTCATGTCTGCACCGCCATCATTGCTAGTTCGTAAGTTCGTAGACACCCAGCTTTCGCATTCCAGAATCAAGTCATTGATCCAAGGTTCCAACCTCGCCTCTGGGCGACCATTCCTATTTAAATCGCGGATCCACTGACTAACAGCAAACGTAATCCATTCGACGATTCGTACGCGACCAGGGCCCCGGAAGGGCACTTCCTGTGCCTCGAACATTTGTTCGAGGACGCGAACTACGAGGTCGAAGCTCACTCCCAGATTAAGGAAGACGATTACCGGCCAGTTGACATCCGCGGCGATTCTTCTATCCTGTGCATTCTCAAAGGCGTAGCGACAGATCTCCGGTAACAGAGTAGGGACGGGGAATATGAAAGAGTCGTTGGAAGAGCGGTGACAGATGTCCTGGATCTGCCCAACGAGCACTTCGTACGGTTGAGGAGGTGGATCTCCTCCCTGTGCTCCACGCTTGCGGCGCTCTATGTTATATGCTGACCACTGTTCCGCGACGTTCTCGTGAGTTTGCTGAATAAGACTGCTCCACGTCTGAGCGATGGTGGTGGAGTTTCGGAAGTCGGCAACGTGATAAATAAGAAGGCATAGATCGTAGTAACCAGCTTGGTCGGCGTAGCCGTTGAAGAGCTAGGTAACAGATGTTAGCGACCCCGAAACCGATTTGTAACCTTCAAACAGCGCGTATATCTGCACACAAGAGGAAAGAAAAATACTTACTTCGGAGAGAGGTTGAATTTGACCATCTAAGGTCTTCTCAATATCTGGTTGGCGTTCCGCTGGGATTCTGCTATCCACTCTCAGCCTCTCTAATAGGTCGTCCTGGATGTGAGCCACCTCGAGAAGCTCCGTCACCTCATGATTGAGGAGCTGCTGTTCTTGCCGGCTAACGCCAGCGGTCATAACACTAGCGTTAGTCTTCGCTTTACTGAGCAGGGTAAGACGATCTTTAATAGAAATTGGGAAGTCGGATTGCGCGAGTTCAGCCTGGACCTTAGCAGCGTCGAAGTACTGCTTGCGCATGGTGTAAAACCTGCAGAGGAGGTCTGCATGCTCGACATCCTTGGAAGCTAGACGGCGGAGGAAAGTTGTTACATGCGGCGAGTCGATGTTGAGAAGGCGATCGGTCCACCCTTGCTGTATATACCACTCATATAGGTCAAAATGGAAAACCTCGTCTGACGAGCTGCTGACGACATCATAAGCCTCTGCGCGCTTGGTTGCTATCAGTGTCGGTTTTCCGTCGATCATTTCGGGCTCCCGGCTGGAGGCGGCATCCAGATCCTGGAGAACGTGATGAATTAAGTTGTAGCAGACTTTGCGCTCGTCAAAGAACCTTGCCCTGGGGTCGCCGACGGGCTTACCATCGTTAACCCAAGAAAGTGCAGCGTTGCCCCGATCCTTTTCGCTGGCAACGACAAGACAGAGCTGAATAGCTCCGGCGTAGTATCTCAAGCTGACATATTGTTCGATCGCATACTCGAGGTTTGCTTGCGTGAGGCTTTTTGCAACTTTCTGGAACAACCTCAAGCTCTCGTGAAGAAGTGTACGGGAGGTGTTCGGATTCAGAGTCGGTTCCGACGCTCTTTTTAATTGCTCCTGGGCCTTAAATATGACTACGTCGTCTGGGCTGCAAAAGCTACCGCATTTACGACGTAGCGCATCTGCTACGGTTTCGACATTGGATCCGTTCTCAATGTTCCGATTGACAATAGCCTTGACGAGGATCTTGGCGAGCTCCTTTCCACTGTCCTGGGAGAATAGTTGCTCATACGTGAGATCGCGAAGCTGTTGCCGCGATGTGTCATCAAGACGAGCGAATATATCTGTAACTCGCTCATCGAATAGGGTCGTAACGAAAGATATGCCTTCAGTAATACCCATCATCAATGTCTCCAAGGCGCGCATAGCTTGATGCTCACCCTGAAAGCCAAGTTCCTCCTGCTTGCTTCCAGCTCTGCGTAAATCTGCGGGACCCGAGAGACCTTGGATAAACGACCGGTTCGCATCTAGGAAACTCCTCAGACCCTCTACGCTCGCCTGAACTTCCTTTAACTTATCGATTGGAATGACGCTGGTTATCGCCAGCGCGCCGCTCGCATCGGTCCCCAATCCGACGATTCTCGAGTTCCATAATAATCGGACAAGCCGGCTAAGGTATAGAGTTAAGGCTGCGTGCCGGGTCGAAGGCTGTACCATCTCAACCGTCGCTGGCTGTCCATCCTGCTCGGGAAGCCTAGGGTTCCCGCCGAAGTTGATATAGACTTGCTTTGCTCGGTCTTGGGTGGCTTGGTCGATGGCGCCACGGGCTATCCCAGGACGCCCATTATCCCCTTGGCGACACGCAACGGCTAGTGCAGCAGTGATAGTCTCGACATGGCCATAAGCACTGCGAAACTTGCTCACCTCAGTCTTTACACCTTCATCTCCTGCAGCCGCCCTAATAGCTGAGGCGAAAATGTCTACCAGTCTTCTGCGACGCACTAGATGTATTCCTGTATTTGTCAGAATAGCAAACTCGCTTCCGTTCGGATCGTCGAATTGGACCGCTAATTCATTCCCAAAGCCTTGAGGTTGGTTGGTCGCAGCGAAAGGCCTGGTAACAAGACCGACATCTTCAGCTCTACTACCAATTTCGATCCAGTTGGCATGCTCATAGTACCGCATATTCTGAGTCTGGCGTCCATGATTGATTCGACCGCTGTCCGGGGCCGACATGAACAAAAGATCCCCGTTGGGTTGTTCCGTTTTAGATACAAAATCAAGAAAGTAACCCGGAGCGAAGCGGATTCCTCGCCGACTCGTCTCGAGAGATTTTGAGTGAATATCGACCTGGTCAGCAAGGCCCCCAAACCGGTCGACCCTAGACCTTCGTTGGTCAGCCGGAGGGAATTTGATGCATTGGAGCTGCATGCTCTGAGGCGCCTGTTCCGAGGAACCCAACATATAGGAGGCAGCGCTAGTAGCGCTCATAAAGAGACGGCATCCCGTATTTGTCAGGGCCATAAGGTGAACCTTGAAATCTTCAACGGCGGAGATGGGGCTAATCGACACGATATCGATGCGCTCGTTAAGCAGAGGCGACACAACGCTAAGCACGTGGGCGATATCGCGCAAAAAATCATCCTTGGTCTTTTCGATAACCTTGGTGAGCTTATTCGGCGGCTCCATGTGATAAGTGCGTACGGTCGACGTATTAGAAAGGGAGTAGAGAAGGCTTCTACTATCATCCACCACGATATCCACGATGTGCTCATCCGTAACCTTACCCCAAAGTATTTTTGTCGGATTAGGGACTGCGTCACGCCATGGACGATATGAGTGGTTGATCTTCTCCGTCCTGTTGGTAAACCATTTCTCTTCTTGCTGGTATTTAAGCTCATAAATATCGCTATCCGACTGACCGGAGAAAAATATGCGGCCGTCTGCGGAACCGGCTATAACACGCGCTTCTGTACCTTTTAGGGGTAACGACATCTTCGTACCGTAGAGATCAATGCTCTTTGCGCCACCTGGAGCATCTTTGGCCGCGACCCCTAAGAGGAATATCTCTGAGGTCGTAGCTACAACCAATATGTGCGTAATGACCTTATTGAACACGTCGGGCTTGGGGGCGACGAGTTTCACGGCGGTAATGCTATGCTGGCTGTCTTCGTAGCCAGTAAGCTCCGGATTTGGGTGAGTATAATCCCAAAGGTAGAGACAATTGTCAATCGTCACCCAGGCGTGGTTCAGCTCGGCGAACAGCCCCATCATCGTGGATACTTCGGCCCTGTTATACTGTTCGAGAACGTTTTGAGGAATGGGATACATATTCGTTTTCTGGAAAGGTGCCCAAGCGGAGTCATCTCTAGTGACATCGTAGTCGGAGGATATTTCTGCGGTAGGTGTACTCTTTAGAACTAACCCTGTTAATAAGAATGTATAGATATTACTCACGTCTACAGTAGGAATCAAGCTGTGGATAATCGCCATCTTTAGCCAGAGCATTGTTGATATAGGAAGCAGCCTTAGCTAGTGGAGGCTGAGGAGTCGTGTTTTGAGCTTGTAGTCCTGCTCGCATGATCTGTTCTTCGCCGGGCTGGGTGGGAGCATTAAGCCCGAGGCCATGCTCTTGACCGAATCTAGCGACTTCACCGCTAGGAACTGAATTATCCCGAAATAAACGGCGACGAACCGGATCTTGCTGGGCGTTGAAGCGCGATGCAATAGCAGGAGTATGCAAGAAAGCGCCGGGCAGTGCATGAGATGGCGTCTGCGGAAAAGCCATGGCGACGATGCGTATGGGTATTCGTATGCGCCCGAATATAATAAGTCAGGCGCGGCAACGAGGAAGGATGAAGGGATTGGTCAATTAAGATTGAAAGGAGAGAGAGGGCCAATGCAGGCGGGCAAGGCACCGAGCTGCTATCGGATCATCAATGGCAACGTCGAAGCTTGGTTTCTTCTAGAATGCTAACAGACGAGGGCGCAAGAAGATGAGAGAAGGGAACCACGGTTATGCTCCCTCTTTTTAAATTCCGTCCCTAAGTCGCCCAAATTTCCCAAAGTTAAGAGAAGTTTATCTTGGGGGGGAAAAGGGAGCTACCAGCTATTAGCTATTAGCTGTCAGCTTTGGACGGGGCTTAGTTTTGAAGATGAGGTATTAGTGTTAGAGAGGGAGAGAGAAAAAGGCTGGAGTTGGAAATATGCTTCTTATTTTTTTCGAAATTCGAAAGCGGGAAGCTTTGACGACACGCGCTTCAAGTTTCGTTGCTTGGTTGCTGAGGTTGTAGCTTTGTCCATTTTTTTCCCATGTCGCGACTTAATCGTTCTAATCCCAATCAAGCTTCAAGCTGGGCTAATAAGTGGGACTACATGCTGAGTACTGCATACATGTACCCTACTTTACGCAGGTATCTAGATACTCTGGCAAGCAAACAGCAACGTCATTGGCTCAAATCATTCTTTGACATTCACTTCTATTTTCCAAGCACAATGCCATTTAAGACATCAATAACTTTGTGTTACCATAACATAAAATTCCTGGCTGCAAGCTGATAATATTTAGGCTACCCAAGGTAGTTAATGCTTAGGTATAAAATAGCTATAGTGACTAAATGATAGGTAATCTTATGTTGAAAAATATTGAAGCTTATTACATTAGGTACAGACCAGGTAGCAAGTCATTGAATATGCATATTAATACGGTAATGACGTATTAACTCCAATAGAACAAGCCTAGACGTACTCAAGGCAATAAAAAAATGAGCCTTCTCTAAGGCCTAAGAGCGAAAAATAAGAATATCAAGTGAATATCAAGTCAAATATAAATTAGATACTTAAAGTACGATGCCAGTCATCTCTTTACCTCTATAAACACAGGCAGCTCCAACAGCAACTCTTTCCATTAGGTACCTAGTTATCCCTACACCAAGCCTACGACTGTTCCTTTTCAGTTCCTGGAGAGCTTTGCCTCGGACTTGATCATTCCTTCTTAGCGTTCCGGGCTGCTTTCTTCAGATAACGGTCCCGGATATCCATTTCCATCTTCAAATTTACCCAGATGCAAAGCCAGTGACCAACCCCAAGGGTATTCTCAATAACCCAGGCCATCAGCGCATGACTCCAATGCGGTGTATAAGTATATGCCACGCTTTGCCAGCCTCCTAGTCCCACCTTGCCTAGAGCAGCCCGCACAAATTGTTTTTGGCTAGGGATAAGTGCGCTAGCCCGTCGTACCTTGCTCATTGCTGTCGTGACAAGGTAGCTGAGACAGAGTTGGACGTCGACGTTGCTCGGCTTAAGCTCCGCCGCAAGAGCAGAAGACCAATACTGCAGGAATGCCTTGCTACCCGAGTAGGTGGCCAAATAAGGGGTCGGGATCCATCCGCCGAAGCTACCCATCGTAAGAATCAAACCACGTTTACGGGCCTGCATTCCCGGAGCGACAAGCTGTGTGACCTTGAGAGTGCCTAGGCAGTTGATGGTGACAATATCTTGAAGCTCCTTCGGCTCGGTGAGTAGGAAAGGAACAGCGGTGTGGTGACTCTGGCCGACATTGTTGATCAGAATGCCTATGTCGAGAGCGGTGATCAGGTTGGCGAGACGAGCATAGTCGGCCTCGTCGTCGGCGGAGAAGTCCATGCCGAGTACCTTCGTCTGTAGTCCCGCATATTTTGTTTCTAGCTCTTGCGATAGTGCTTCTAACTTGGATAAGGTACGGGACACTAGGACGAGGTTGAAGCCCTTGGCAGCGAGTTGAGTAGCAAATTCTTTTCCTAAGCCATCAGATGCGCCCGTTACAACAGCCCAGGTACCTTTCTTTCCATATTTCTTAAGCTAAATCATGGGGTGCCCAGGCGTTAGACGAAGAGATAGCATACACGAAGGAGTAAAACAGTATATAAACAGAGACTTACGTTGGTCCCACTAAGGATGAATGTGCTTGAGAGTAAACGGAGAAAGCTTAACGCTTTGAATGTTGTAAAGAGAGCTCCCAGTCCCGCAAAGGTTAACAGCACACTCTGTGGAACAGAAGCGAGACCATCGCTAACAAAATCCATATTGGATACAATGAGATATGACAGGTACCTCCAGTATGTATCAGTATGTATGGAGCAAAAGTAGGAAGAAAGGAAGAAAGGTAAGATTTAGGTAGAGTCGATAGTGTGCTAAAGTAAGTGTGCTGTTAGGGTTTTCCGAGTGCGAGTTATAATTAATACTAATTGGAAGCTAAGGTGTTAAGGTGCTACGTTAATACCTGATAGGTTAGTGGCGGACCTCGGAGCTTGGTGGAAGCTAGGATGTACCTAGTCGATATAAACACCTATAAACTGCCCATACCTGCATCTTGACGGCCTCTCTCTATATTTATATTTATATCAAGCATCCCCCGTTTACCGACCGGAGTTTTTAAGATCCACAAAAACATCAATCATCATGGATTTCTTGAAAGACTATCTTCCGCCCGCCAAAGGCTATCTCCCGTACTATATGATGCTGGTATGCGAAATTCGCTTTACTTTACCTTTCTAGCTCTCCCCCTTTTTTCTTCTTCTTCTCATTGTTTCTAGCTAACCAATCGAAACCATAGACTTCTGTGCTCGCTGTTGGGAATGCCTTTCAGAATTATATAACACTACACTTCTCCCGACGCCTCTACAACGGCCAGTTCGTACCGAACCCCTCCCTATCTCCCAAGTCGGCTACCTTCGATCCGGAAGACTCAACTCGGAAACTTGTACCTGCATCCGCAACGTCCAATCCTAAAGCCGGACGTACCCAGGACCAGGTCACCCCCCTCGCTGCCAGATTATTCGGTACTTATACTATCGTTTCGGCTATCGTGCGCTTCTACGCTAGCTACAATCTTCATCTGGCTCCCGTTTACCAAATCACCCTGTGGACCTACGTCGTTGCACTTGCGCATTTCGGCTCCGAATTCGCTATCTATAAAACGGCGCACATGGGTCCAATTGCGTCAACCTTCTTCTTTGCCACCGTTGGTATCGTATGGATGACCAGCCAATATAACTTCTACGTCGAAGTATAAGCCTGAAGGGATAGACTTTTCGGGGGGAGAAAGAAGCGTAATGGGTATAATATCATCAATAATATAAGTAATCAGCATACATAATCGACGAGTTTGATGTGGAACGCATCTATAATACCAAGGCCATGAAGTTCTGCCCATGTATGTTGCCAACTATCCGGTATAAATACCTCGTCTATTGCTATATTGTCTTCGCCATTCGCTATACGCCCCCCTATCATTGGAGTTTTTTCCGATATAACTCTCCCGCGCAATCCCTCAACCTCGCCGAGGCTTGTTCGGGGGTAATGTCTCGTTGCGGCTCGGCCATCAATTCATATCCAACTAAGAATTTTCGCACGGTGGCCGACCGTAGTAGAGGCGGATAAAAATGCATGTGGAACCAACTGTTCTCGATTTCCTCATCTGTTCCGTCTAGCGGAGCTTGATGAATACCAGAGCTGTACGGAAAGCTTGTCTCGAACAAGTTGTCATATCTCCTCGTTACCTCCTGGATCGCATCCGCAAACCTAAACCTCTCTTGTTCGGTCAGGTCTACTAACGCTCGCACATGCCGCTTGGCGATTATCATAACCTCAAACGGCCAGATAGCCCACCACGGACAGACCACCAGGAAGGACTCATTCTGGTACACGATACGCTCCTGTTTCTCTAATTCTAGCTTGACATAATCCTCCAGCAGGTGTCGCCCTTGGTGCTCGGCTCTGTATTTGGTCAACTGAACAATTTCTGCGGCTGGTTCTTCCGGCAGTGTACTGGTTGTCCAGATTTGGCAGTGCGGGTGAGGGTTTGAGCATCCCATTGCAGCGCCCTTATTCTCAAAAATCTGCATATATCGCAACTGCTGCGAGGGCGGCGGCACGAGTGACTCTGGAGGTGCTTCGCGATTTAGGAGATCGAGCTTGGCGGCGACTTGAGAAAGGGGGTTGCTCGGCGCGAGGTGGACAGCATAAATCCTTGTCCACGTCTCAATAATTGGGAGAGTCTCGGCCGCAGGCATGTCGGCGAGGGTGAGGTTGTGCTTGGGTGAAAAGGTAAGGACAAAGCATTTGCCTTTGACACCCTCAGCGCGAAGCAGCAGTGAGGCGAGATCTACTCGGATTAACTAAGCTGAACCATAAGTTAAGAGGCGGTAAGGGGCAAGCTTATTACCATGACTTGAAGGCTCTGCCTCATAATCTTGCTGTTGTTCCTTTACGGCACTATAGTCATTTACAAACACAAAGGTTTGCTTATAGTCGGGGTTCGCATCGCCTTGCGCTCGCGGGTTTCGAGGACAGAGGTAACACTTGACTCTATTAGCGACCAACGTCTCTAGTATTATGGGGGAGTATCGCTTGCCTTCGGGTCGTATTCAGGCAGTGTGATGATTCCTGGGGCTTCTTGCTGACCCCTGGCCAAGAACCTGGTGAGCAACTCATTTCCTCCTCATACAAAGCATAGATATATCACAGCACACTTACTGCCAAGGTCTCTTCGTCCTGTGAGGGGAGACTAAGAGCCATGACCCCCTCAGTGGATTGTAGCGCCGATGGGAGATATCGTCGAGAATCTTGTCAGGCATAGCGACTGGAGGAAAGATTGAGCCAGGCTATAAGGACGAAGTTTGATAGATGTATATAATAGATGAGAACGCCCTTATCGCGCAGAAAGCGACGCAATTCGAAGCTTGAACTAACACGATGGAGGAGTATTATTTATTCTATGAGGAAGATATGCAAGTAATTACCTCACAAAAAAAGAAAAAAGAAAGCAAGCAGATGTGAGAATGCGAAGAGGCAAGGAGACGGATAGCTGCGGTGTATATTGTATTGTATGTACCTGATTATCGGTCCACATGGCATTACATACCTCATGTATGTAGTGGGTTAAGAAACTACAACCCCGCCTGGGGTATTCTACATAGTGTACCTGGGTAAGTGCTATGATGCAATTGGACAGCTGCGAGGTATCTCGGTGGTTACGTCGGCCGAATAGCATGAACAACATTTAAAACTACATAGAGAGGTAGTTCCTACCTTTTACATCTTGGGAAAATACCGCGCTTTCTTCACTCGTACCTTCCACAAAGGGGAAAGGAGAATTACGAGGTAACACAATAGACGTACACGTGCACCTAGAAATATTGAATTTTCAATGTTTGCAAATGCATTAGTTTAGGTACCTAAATATGTAGCTTGCATGATACATCTTCCCAATATTGGGGTACTTCGTTAGGTTAGGTACTTCGTACTTGCCCGTCAAATAAGTAAAGCATATTCACGTGACTAAAGAGCCTCAGCCTTTTTTGCGGGTTAAAGCAGATGATACTATTTGTCAAATCGGTGCGACGCACTTCGCATCTGCAACCTCTGATTAGGTACCTACCTACCTACATACCTGGTAGTAGGCATCCAACTATTATCCACTATCACCGACTGACCTCCATTACTCGTCGCCCAACATCAAATCAACAATACTCTTCGTCGGACACTTCAAATAAAAAGAATAAAATAAATTATCATATCTTCCGCTCACTTCAAGTACGATATCCTGTTGATACCCCTCCTTGGTATCTTTCTCAGTCGTCGGCCGGCGTGCATTTATCAGTCCATCTCAACCACAATCTGATAATTAATTTCGAAGTCCTTCCAAACCGGACTTCGTCATCCCGAACTTCACACTGGACGACAACATGGGTGTCATCCGCAAGAAGACGGCCACCAGGGGTGGTGAGAGTGGTGTTAAATATGTTTGCGATGTTTGCTCGGCAGACATCACCTCTACAGTACGTCTTCGTCGCGTCCCTACTATTACTACTTCTCTCTTCACCTATCTAGCTTTTCTATCAGTGCTAATTGAACTCTATTCCTACAGGTCCGAATAAGATGCGCTCACAGCGCATGTAACGAGTACGACCTCTGTGTCCAGTGCTTCTCCATGGGCGCCGCGAGTGGCTCTCATCAACCAGCTACCCATCCTTACAAGGTCATCGAACAGAACTCATTCCCTATTTTCGACAAAGACTGGGGTGCAGACGAAGAGCTGCTGCTTCTCGAAGGTTGCGAGACTTACGGACTTGGATCATGGGCCGATATTGCAGATCACATTGGCGGCTACCGTCACAAAGATGAGGTTAGGGACCATTATCTCAAGGTATACGTTGACTCGCCATGTTTCCCGCTTCCGGAACGCTGCAAACCATCAGACATGGAACTAGCGCAAGATATATCCCGCGAAGAATTCCAGGCGCGCAAGAAGCGACGCATCGAAGATCGCAGGGAGGCTCAGAAGAATGCACCCCCGATGCCGCCCAAGACGAAGCCCACGGCCAGTGTGCCTTCCTGTCACGAGATTCAAGGCTATATGCCCGGCAGACTCGAGTTTGAGACTGAGTATGCTAACGAGGCCGAAGAGGCAGTCCAACTGATGCAATTCGACCCTGGTGACGGTATCAATCCCCATACAGGAAACCTAGAACCGGAAATGGAGCTCAAACTCACGGTCATGGACATCTACAACTGCCGATTAACCCAACGCGTGGAACGAAAGAAAGTGATTTTCGAGCACAATCTGCTAGAATATAGGGAAAATAGCAAGCAGGAGAAGAAGAGAACCAAGGAAGAACGAGACCTTTTGAGCAAAGCCAAGCCTTTTGCGCGCATGATGAACCATGATGACTTTGAGGCGTTCTGCCAAGGTTTGGTTGACGAGTTGAATCTTCGGCAGGCCATTGCCCAGCTGCAGGAATGGAGGAACATGAAGATTGGTGATCTTCGTAGCGGGGAAAAGTACGAACAGGAGAAAAGTCAACGCATCCAGAAGGCTATACCGATGGGTTCGATGGATCGCGAACGACTAGCTTCGGCGCAACGATCTAAGCAAAGCATTCAACCGGAACCACCCAGTGGAGCCGCTCTGCTCGTAGCGCCCGAGCTCCCATTCAGGCCTGCTACAGCTGGGACGATATCTCAAGACGCCCCAGATGCATCAACAAACGGCGAGCCCAAGCCGCTCGCAAATGGGCACATGAACGGAGTTCCTAACGGAGTTACGACCAACGGGACACTTGCATCGGGGAAGCAGAAGTTCATCTCGCAGCCTATTTCGGGCGTACAGCCACTAGCACTGACCCAAGACAACGCCCCAGACTTACATCTACTTACACCGGAGGAAGTAGAACTATGTAAGGTTTGTCGACTACAACCGAAGCCGTATTTGATGATAAAAGAACAGGTATTCAAGGAAGGTCTAAAAGGCAACGGAGCCTTAAAGAAAAAGCAAGTGAAGGAGATTTCTCGGCTAGACTCTCAGAAGGGGAGCAGGATATTCGATTTCTTTATCAACTCGGGTTGGATTGCTAAAGCTTAAGCTTTTCCGGCAGCAAGTGTAGGAATACTATCAGATGCTACCGGCCCAGCATCCTATAATAATTTGGTGGGGCTTTCCCTGCGAGCATGTTGGAGTAAGGGGTGTATATCCTCCAACCCTGCCAAAAATAAAGACAGAAGGGGGAGGGGGTGCAAGTTGGCTGATGACATATGCAGCACATTCATCGCTTCAGCCAGGCAGGTTCTACTCCGTAGAGCTTGAACTACGGTAGAATCCGTGATTAATACAACGGCCTGGTCCTTTGCATTCATATGGGCGATGATTTCAGTTAGACAAGCTCTTGCAGCACGAGTCACCCGAATAATGTAATACAACGTACCATACGTTAGGTACCTTAGGTAGTTAATGATGTGTATTTTAACTGCGACCAAAGAGCAAAAGAGCAGGAATAAGTGCATGACATGATAGTAGCTTATGCAAGGTTACAAGTCCCTTCGCCATGTCTCAATACAGTTTTCTTTTATAAGACAACTCTCGGTGCGTGTTCAGCACAGCGCGAAATTACCCGTGTTAATGTATATACCTTATGTTAGGTAGGTACCTGTTAATGCATTACATACACAGGTTACCTAGGTACCTAGCCCGGTGTAAGATACCTACATACAGGTACACAGTGTATGGGAAGAACATTAGTTATGTACCTAGGAGGCAGGTACGTAGGTAATTTTAGCTAAAGTTTGGACTAACATGTTCCTGGGTTCCGAAACAAAGCCGCAAACATAAGCCACAACCTACACTCCACCCTTCCCCCTCCCCCCCCCCCAATTCTAATCGCCTTAACCGCGTTCTAACCGCGCCTAGACCATTCCTATTTCTACCTACCGGTCCGCGCCCTGGTGCGACCGTTTCCCCCCTCCCACGATGGTAATTGGCTATCAAACAATCGTAGGCTTCATGCCGCGCCGAAACCTCCTCCTCCCGACCATTTGTATAGTCCTCCTCATTGCGGCATGGACCTTCCGAGCTCCAAGTCCCTCTATTGAAAGATGGCTTGATACATCCACCATACGAGGTACTACGCCGACAATACCACCGAACTCATCGCCTCCCCTTTCATCTTCAAACAGTCCTCCGACCCAACCCCACAGCGATGTCGACCTATCCTCTCCCGACGCTCCCTTTATCGGCTGGCCGTTACAAAGGGTATGCAAGGAGGCCATATGGGTAGAAGGGTTAGTTTACATCTGCGACAACAATTCTGGTGGGATTGGTAATATACGAAATTACATCCAGACCTGTATACGGTACGGTCTCGAAGCTGGCGCCACGGGTCTCGTTATGCCCAAGATCCGAAAACGCAATGAGACAGATCTAGCCGACCTCTTCACTGACTATCTACCACTCGATTACATGTTTAACGAGGAGCACTTCAAAGATGCCTTTGCCCTCAGCTGTCCCCAGATCACGCTCTACGATAATATCAAGGATATACCTGGCATAGGCAGCAAGCCTAATATCGAGCATATCACACCCAAGAAGTTTGGAAATCGCGAAGGCTGCGATTGGCGAGATCAAAATCGTCATACGGATCGTTTCGGTGATAGATTCCGCAGGTGGTTGAACGATCCTAAGAATGGACAACTCCCACCGTCGAAGGATCACCCGCGCTTAATACGTTTTAATTGGGGTGTTCTCTGGGACTGGCAAATCTATCGTGATGGCCCCGAATTTGCGAATACGTTCGGTAACATCTTAAAATTCAACGACCAGCTACTCCGCTTAGGAGAGGTTACGTTGCAAAAAATGCATGCGTATGCGAAGGCCAACGGAGTCGAGAATGGCAAATTCCTCGGCGTACACTTGAGAACAGAGAGTGACGCCCTAAGTTTCTGGCCGACGTACACTACTCAGACAGAAGCCTATCTAAAGCAAGCCACCAAACGAGGCTTTGAAGCAGCGTATATAGCCACGGGAGACCCTCTCGAGGCGCAAAATTTTGCAGGGGCCGCCATCGAAATGGCGCAGATGAGAGTGGTTAGCAAGACAGATCTATTAGAGGACGAAGATCTGGAAGAACTGGAGTCATTGAGCTGGGATCAACAGGGCCTAATCGATTTGATCGTCCTCCTAGGAAGCGACTACTTTGTAGGCACAATGCCGAGTAGTTTCTCGATTTACATAGCGATGAAGCGGCACTTAAAGACGGAAGGTATCTATACGAGACCTTATAAGGTCGGATCGGAAGGGGATGGGCTGTCGTATCTTGTGGGCAACTATGAAAAGTACTGGGAAGGTTGGCTTTACATGTGGGATGGTATGTGGCCTTGAGACATGTCTTTAGTAGAGTAGCATCTGTTTTAGATGCGAGTATCGTATAGAACAAATAGAATCATAACAAAGGTACCTTGGGTACCTACAATTTACATGTGAAAGGGGTCCCTTAGGTACCTGCATGCGTATCCAAAACATATTCTCTTTATGTGCATATGCCTACCTACATAATGAATTATTTAAGTTACCTACCTAAGGTACATACCTAGTAGGCATAACCGTACTCTAGTAAAGACATATAGTTACATGTACCTAATCTTCATGGTTCTAATAAGCAGAAACTCAAGCAAGAACTTAAGCAAGAACTCAAGTTTACAACCTCGACATCAATTTTAAAAATTATCTTGACCAGCAATCGTTTGGCTCCAAGTTCACTCTTTAGACAACTCCTAAGCTACTCTACACTCAGATAACTTTCCACTACGTTCAAGATGTCAATGGTAACCATCTCTAGCCTACAACGCATCACTGCGTCAAAGCTAGCTGAGATGTTACTTGTCACCGCGAACCCACCGTCTTCAGACGGAACCATAGCCATTGTAGACGTGCGAGACGACGGTATGTATTGCTCTCACTTTATGCCACATCGTACCCCGGCTTCCTTTTTAAGGCTTTGACTTTTTGACGAACCTAGAGGAATGGCCCGTTGACTAAATTTGGCTTGGTTTGGCATAACCTCCCCCGTCTCATTTATTATACCTAAGGGCATACTAATATAAACTCTATACCGGCGCACAGATCACATAGGCGGGCACATCAAGTCATCGCTGCATTTCCCTAGCCGCAGCCTTGACGCTACCATGCCCACCCTATTGCGCAAGCTCGCCGACAAGGACATAGTTATTTTCCACTGCGCCTTGAGCCAGCAGCGCGGTCCTAGCGCCGCCCTCAGATATATCAGAGAAAAGGAAGCGGCAGCCGCTGCAGTAAAGAGGGCTGCGGAGGAGGTAGAGGCTAAAAAGGAGGGTAAAGCGGCCAAGCAACAGCAAGTCTACGTTCTAGATAGGGGCTTCGTCGGCTGGCAGGAAGTCTATGGCCCTGATGAGCGTCTCACAGAGGCGTATAGAAAGGAGTTATGGGAGAATGGGTATTAGACCAAGGCCACGACCAGAAAACCGTAGCGTTAGAGATTGGCGTTTTTGTCAAGATGGATCAAGAAACATGTCTAATTGGCGAGTGTGGTTGTGGGTTATATTCGGTAAGCCTGTTCTATCACCTACCCTGGCAACTTCTTCCACTCACAAATGCTCAGAGGAGGGGCCAATTCCTTCACGCAGCTACATGCAGCCCTCGGGATGGCGAAATAGAGTTCTAGACGTCAAGATCAAGACGTGACATTCCATTGTAGATCAAGCATAGTTTATTTAGTCAAAACTTTGAACCTCAGTACGCATTGGCCCCTTCAGGTGGCGCTTAGCTCTGTACAGGGTTCGTCTTTTATCATAAAACCAGATTTTTGGGCCTTAACGCTCGGGGCTTTATACCTTGTATAGCCCTTATGGTGCGGACATACACAGTGATTCTCTTTAAGAGCTGTGGAATAAGATTTGATTTTACGCAGACAGTTGAAGTATATTTGAAGTTTATCATGTTAGCAGATCATAAGAGAATATATAGACGTTGTTTATATAAAGTTGTTTATATTTTCCATGTTAATATAGTATTATACTTTTATATTTGGAGCATACCAAATGGCTCTATAAGCAACCAGCCAAGGTTGTCTCACCATATGAGTTCAATTTGAATTTAAGTAGGTCTCGGCGTGTCTTAAAATCTACACGATCGTTTCATGCTTGCCGAGAGGCCAGAAGCTTTTGGCCAGAGAAACCCCATTCTTAGATATACAATAAAGACATAGTTAAATAAGATCGAGAGGATTTGAGTTCTCACATTGACGCAAGGGGAATTCTCTAATATAGGGCAGAACTTTCTTCGGTAGGGGATATACCAACATATATAGAGCAGCAATTGTCTTTAGATATACCATATACTTCCATCTAGTAGCTATTTCGGATAGCCCATCACTCCCTTCCTGATCCAGCTTGGAAAAAAGAAAAGAAAATACCCCGATAGACTCCCAGCACTCAGCATCTCAAATCTGAAGTCATGGTTCGCTCACCCACCGATCGGGATGAACTACGCCGTCGCGTATCCATTAGTACACTTCCAAGGTTAACCCGAGCGGGTACATTCGAGATCGAACTGCATTATTTCATGAAGCACCTCCGCTATCGAGCCCGGAAACTTACAAAACTCTGCAAAAAGCTTGCTGGGGTTATGGGTAGAATCCTCAGATATCTCGCGATCGCTCCATACCTTCCTTGTGTATGCTTCTTCATCATTGCAGATAAATTCGGAGCGTCTACGAGACACGAATCTGCAACAGAGCCCTTAGACAAAATTACCTATTTTCCACATCCGAAATACTCCGGCGACGACAATTTCAATGTGGTGGTCATAGAGACATGGGAGGTTGAAGGCTGAATGGTGAAGCTTTAAACCCACAAGGCAACAGCCGACTATCTCGAGCTTTAAGACAATGGTGTCCTCGCTCTATGGGGCCTAACTAGGACCCAAATGGGGATTGATACCGAGATTTATGAAGTTTGAGATATGGAATAAATATGCTTTATTTCTCTCTTTACAATGTACCTAATTAACCCCTAGAAATAAAAATGTCAGATATTTTCACCACCTCTATGATAGACTTAGTGTATGTGATAATAAACCATAACTATACTTAGGTATATAATGAGGTTTCCAACATGATATTAATGTGAGTTAGTAGTAATTTAAAAGACTCAAATTATATGCATAGGCATTTTATGGAAGCTCGAAGACGATTCTCATGATAGAATAGCTCGGAGACTTGAATTATATATACCTGCAATCTCTTCACTCTGTAGTTTTCTGGTCCTTTGAATATTTATTAATTCTTATAGGCTAAATTCTACGTAGAGTGAACTTGTGAGGCTAGGATGATCTTTAAAAGTACAGAAATCAAGCCCGGCATTAATACCTTGTACCTTTCTACGGAGTAGTTCCTATATAACGCTATATTAACCTTGACCCCAGGCCTCAGAAGTTTTTTAATGAATGATATTTTACGGCAAAAAGTAGAAAATGTGTTTATGTTGTTATATTAAGTATCAGGGAATTACCTTAAAGTTGTTCAGTGATTTGAATCTGGCCCTAAAACTCCACTGCCTATTTCACTTACTCTAGGTTTTAGCACAATACCAGGGGTTATTTATTAGGCCACCGATGTATACGTAGGTTAAGCAAAGAGTTGATCTAACTGTGCTATCTATAAGGGTTATGATAATAAGGGATGCAATCTTAGGTACGCTGAGGTATGTACTGTTACGACATTAATCTTGTGCCCCCCCCCCCCCAAAATAATGTACTAGAGCCTACGATATGGACACGGGCAACTATTTCTTTAACTGAGCTTTGAACCCAGTTGTAAGTGATCAGCCCTTTTTTATGTTCAATAATATCTGAGAAGACGGCTCATTGTGCTTTTCATTAAGCTTTGGCCTGGTGGTAGCAATAAGAACTGGTTGATATGTACAAGAATACCACGTAATGAATAAATGTCTCCTTTTCAAAATGTCCCTCATAACCCCTATTTACTTCCAATCCCGAATAATCAATGTTAACCGCCCTGTCTCCGCTCGTATTTTCACATTTCACGCATAACCCATTTCATCATTCGATGCTTACAGTTTCGAGAACGAAGTCGGCACGCTCCCGCCCATCTCGACCAATGTGCTCTTATTCCTAACCCACGCCTCGAGTCCTCTCTTCCCGTTTTCGACTCCGATGCCGCTTAGCTTCCAGCCGCCAACTGCCATCTCGGCAGGACTCTCGCCCCAAGTATTTATCCAAGTAATACCAGCCTCGAGTTTCGAGATAACACTGTGGCATAGGTCGATATCGCGACCCACCACGCCGGCCGCAAGTCCCAGATCTGTTGCGTTGGCGCGCTGGACCGCCTCATCGACTGTGTCGTACGCCAGGATTGTCATCACAGGCCCAAAGATCTCTTCCTTCACGATGGTCATCTCATCAGTGCAGTCTGTAAATACTGTCGGTTGGACCCAGTAGCCCTCTTTTAATTCGGGAGGTATGTTGGCTGGCTGCTCTAACCCGCCGCTTAGTAACGTCGCCTTATCTTGCTCGATGCCCTGGCGTATGTATCGAACCACTTTGTCGTAATGGATCTTGCTACTAAGAGGTCCGAAGTTGGTTGTCGGATTAAAAAGGTCGCCTGCTCGGACGAATTGTATCTTCTCGAGCAAGGTGCGCTCAAACGATTTTTTTATCGAATTCGGAACAAATACCCGCGTGCCGTTCGTACAGACTTGGCCGGTACTGAAAAAATTTGCCATCATGGCTACATCTACGGCTTGGTCCACCGCCGCGTCTGGGAGAATAACTAACGGGCTCTTGCCACCCAGCTCCATGGTCACGTACTTCATCCCCCCGGCAGCAGCGCCGGCTACCTTCATCCCGGTGCTGACCTGTCCAGTGAAACTAACCTTCGCGATGGCAGGGTGTCTCGTCAGATAGGACCCGACGTCGCCGCTGCCATATACGACGTTGAAAACGCCGTCCGGAAGACCAGCCTTACGATAGAGATCAGCTAGGTATTCGGCGTGTAATGGCGTGTACTCGCTCGGTTTGTAAACCATGCAATTTCCCGCAGCCAAACAAGGCGCAGACTTCCAGAGTGCGATTTGGATTGGGTAGTTCCAGGCCCCGATGCCGGCGCAAACGCCTAGAGGTTCTTTGGACGTGTATACCATAGCCGACGGCCGAAGGCGGAAGGATTCGCCATTTAATCCACCGCTGGCTACTAAGCTTGCGTAATACTCGAGAACGTCCGCCCCCGTGGTGATATCCACTGTTGAAGTTTCCGAGAAAGGCTTCCCGGTGTCGATGGTCTCGACACGCGCGAGAGCATCGTTGTACTCACGCAGAAGAGCGACAGCTTGGTGTAGAATACGTGCCCTTTCTACGGCGGGAGTGCGAGACCAGGAAGGAAATGCTTCTTGGGCCGATTGGATTGCGGCATCAACAGATTTTGGTGAAGAGCTATGTATCTTGCAGACGGCCTTCCCGGTTGAAGGGTCGATAGACTCAAAACTGCCCGAGGATGGTGCTAAAGGCCGCGGGTGTCCCGCGTAAAATGCGTGTCGGTCTAAATCCCTGAACTCCATGATATATATAGACACGCGACTGACTTGATAAGAAACAGCAGTGAATTTGTAATTCCGGTTGAATCTTTAGGTGGTTAGTAAGTCGTCTTCTCTCCTACGAGTAAAATGTGAGGCTTGATATGAGTGGCTGGTAGTGATCGAGGGCTTGATTAAGGCCCGGGAGTAGGGTGTGTTTCTATCTTGGATATCAACAGGGAACCCCTTGATATAAGATATTGCTAGAATATAAACTAAAGTAAATTCGGTGCGTAGATACGAAGCTATCGGTGTAACTATGTAGGACTTGAAACACGAACTTCGGACGTGGATATTTATTGGGTCGGCTCCGGGTAAAATTCACGTCATCAAGTGGAGATGGAAAACACGGTGTTGGCGGGTATTGGGCAGTGTTGGCAATTTGCGGCTCCCGAGCGAGGCTCCGCCAGTTTGTTCGAAGCTGACGCCTCGTGACGGTAGAAGGTTTACTATGTATTAGACCTTAGTTCCCTATGCACTAGATAGCCCCGACTCGTTGAATCACAAGTCTCAGCTGGATCTCGGCTGTTTTCGTATCTAGCGTAGATTGCGCCTTTGATATGTAGACTCGAGATAAGAATCGAGGGGTGGCAAGTAAACGTTCGAGCGCGGGTAGGTTAACTTCTTAAGGTATGTAAGTTGGTTGTTAGCCAAGTAAAGTTGGTGGGTTGGCGAGACTAAGAGGACTATCTTTACCCAACTTAGGATAGCCCAAACCACCAGATCGACCTTGTTCTGCTTGTTCCGTTTTGTACTCCTCCATAGCGTATGTGTTCTTTGCCCGGCAGCCCGGCCACGATTCGGACGAGTCAGATAAGTCAGGCCATTTAGCGCATTCACCGCTCTGCACATAAGATTTTTTGCTGCACGTATACAACTCATGTAACCGTGGACTAGCAATACTAGTGGGGTCGATTGTGAAGGATCAAGCTTGTCAGGGTCCATATCTCGAAATTTGTACAGCGCTTGACCGAGTCCCGAACCGCCTTGGCAACTTTGTTATGGAATTCGCCGAGGGGTCTGAAAGATTAATAGACCCTGACTGCCACATGGCAAGGTGCTGTCTCGCTGACTTGTAATATCACAGGATCTGCAGCTAAAGATACGTGTTTTAGTTGATCTCCAGTTGTTCCAAGTCGTTCCAAGTAAAAAGAAACGTTTACGGGGAAAAAGCCACAAGAAAAAAAAACCCCCCCAAGATGACCACTACGCAGCTCCCAGTATCGGATTCCGACAAGTATGATTATGTAGTTGTTGGTGGGGGTACCGCGGGCTGCGTCGTTGCGGCAAGGCTGGCGGAGTATCTACCGCACAAAAGCATCCTTCTCATTGAGGCTGGCCCTAGTGATTTTATGGATGATCGCGTGCTCGACCTTAAGCAATGGCTAAAGCTGCTGGGTGGTGAGCTCGACTATGATTACGGCACTACCGAGCAGCCTATGGGTAAGTTCTTGTACTCTAAATTAAACTGGTCTCTTATCTTACCGTAACTTATAGGCAATTCTTATATTAGACATTCGCGAGCCAAGGTTTTGGGAGGCTGCTCTTCGCATAATACCTTGATCTCTTTCAGACCGTTTCAGTATGACCTGGATATCTGGCAGTCATTGGGAGCACGGGGCTGGACTTTTCCCATGTTCATGAAAGCGTTGGATAGACTGAAGAATACTATTCAACCAGTTCATGCGAGACACCGCAACCAATTGTGTCAGGATTGGGTTGATTCGTGCAGCTCTGCCCTGAATATTCCCGTCGTTGATGACTTCAATAAGCAAATTTCGCAAACTGGTTCCTTAAAACCTAGCGTTGGATTCTTTTCAGTAAGCTACAATCCGGACGACGGAAGACGATCCAGCGCTTCCGTCGCATATATCCATCCCATCCTTAGGGGCGAAGAGAAGCGGCCAAATCTGACGATCCTGACACATGCGTGGGTGTCGAAAATCAACGTTAGCGGAGATGCTGTTAGTGGAGTAGCTCTGACGTTGAAAGATGGCTCCTCACGTATTATCAAGGCGAAGGCCGAGACGATATTGAGCGCAGGGGCTGTAGATACCCCTCGCCTTATGTTGTTATCAGGTCTTGGGCCTAAGAAGCAACTGTCAGATCTTAATATCCCCGTCGTCCGCGATATTCCAGGAGTCGGTGAGAACCTTCAGGATCACCCCGAAAGTATTATCATGTGGGAATTGAAGAAACCCGTGCCGCAAAACCAGACAACGATGGATTCCGACGCGGGAATCTTCTTGCGTCGCGAAGCACCTGGTGCCGGAGCTAAGAAGTCAGCTGCCAATCCACAGGGTCTTTCCGATGGAGATATTGCGGATGTCATGATGCATTGCTACCAGATCCCATTCACACTCAACACCCTCCGATTGGGATATCCTGATATCCCAGACGGCTATGCTTTCTGCATGACGCCGAATATCCCGCGGCCGCGCTCCCGAGGTCGACTATATCTTACATCGGCGGATCCCAAGGTTAAACCGTCGCTTGATTTCCGATATTTCACAGACCCGGAAGGCTACGATGCGGCTACTTTGGTATACGGCATGCGAGCAGCACGCAAGGTAGCAGAGCAAGCACCGTTCAAAGACTGGATCAAAAAGGAGATTGCACCTGGGCCGAAGGTTCAGTCAGATGAGGATCTTAGCCACTACGCGCGTAAAGCAGCGCACACGGTTTACCATCCCTGCGGAACAACCAGGATGGGAGACACAACGAAAGACGAGATGGCTGTTGTTAACGAGAAGCTAAAGGTCAAAGGACTGAAGAAGCTGCGCATTGTCGATGCTGGAATATTCCCAACTATTCCTACTATCAATCCTATGTTAACAGTATTGGGTGTTGCCGAGAGAGCTGCTGAACTGATTGCCGAAGAAGCTGAATCCGAAAAGGAGAAGGCTAAGCTATGATCGGATATAAATGTTGATTTATATAAGACGGGATTCCAGCGTTATGGAAGCTGTATTGAATTGTTGCTGAGGTTGGGCATGTAATTAAAACATCTAGAAACTGATGATTTTTGAGCCGGGTTAGAAAGACCGTTGTAAGAAAATATAGATGCTTAAGAAGGTTAAGAGAAGAAGTTGCTCTTAATAATTTCCAAGATCTCCCGAAATTTGATTTGACATGATGGTTACAGCGATGGTTACAGCGATGGTTACAGGCACCTAGGTAGGTAAAGCCTCTGTGGCTGAAAGGCGGTCAAGAGATAGCGCGGTCAGTGGATCAAAACGCGCTAAACCGTACGGAATATGTAGCTTGGGCAGAATCCCCGCCAAGTCCATTTTTTTTCTTCTGAGATTTACAAGGTGCATCAAGTTCAAATTCATATTTTTGTTATAAGTCATCGGTAATTAAAAATCGCAATGCCTGCAGTTCGTGCTGGGAATCGTGCGCCGAAAAAGCAGCAACTACACAAAGAAAATACAAAGTCGCTAAAGAGGAAAAGGGATCAGGAAGATGTCCAAAAACTACAAAATGCCGTAGACGAGCTTGTAAGCGATACTCTTACTTGAAATGTCGTTTCGAAGAATAGAGCTGACAGAATCTTTTTCTTTTTCCTTTTTAGGACCTGAAGTCTGACGACACGTCTAAGTTCTCAACGCTGCCACTTTCGAAACCCACTGCTTCTGGTCTCGAAGCGTCACACTTCCAAAACTTAACCGATGTCCAGGCCCGAGCGATTCCCCTCGGCTTAAAGGGTCGCGATATTCTCGGCGCCGCGAAGACCGGTTCCGGCAAGACTCTTGCTTTCCTAGTTCCCGTCCTCGAGAAGCTTTACCGCGCGCAATGGACCGAGTACGACGGACTAGGAGCTCTTATTATCTCTCCTACGCGCGAGCTTGCCGTGCAGATTTTTGAGGTGCTACGTAAGATTGGGAGATACCATACCTTCTCTGCCGGTTTGGTCATCGGAGGCAAAAGTCTACGCGAAGAAGCTGAAAGGTTGGGGAGGATGAACATTCTAGTTTGCACCCCGGGTCGTATGTTACAACATCTGGATCAGACGGCCGGATTCGATGTCGACAATCTACAGATACTAGTCTTAGATGAGGCCGATCGAATAATGGATATGGGGTTTCAATCTGCTGTGGATGCACTTGTAGAGCATCTTCCCAAGTCGCGGCAGACGATGTTGTTCAGCGCTACGCAAAGCAAAAAGGTCTCGGACTTGGCAAGACTAAGCTTAAAGGATCCCGAATACGTAGCCGTTCACGAAGCTGCTGCTGCCGCAACCCCTACGACACTAACACAACACTACCTTATCACGCCCTTAGCAGAAAAGATGGAAACTTTATATGGCTTTATAAAAGCGAACCTCAAGAGTAAGATGATTGTATTCCTGTCGTCAGGAAAGCAAGTTCGTTTCGTATATGAGAGTTTTCGCCATTTACAACCTGGTATCCCGCTGCTACATTTACATGGAAGGCAAAAGCAGGTGGCGCGGCTCGAGATTACGTCGAGATTTTCCGCGGCTAAATATTCCTGCCTCTTTGCTACGGACGTGGTTGCACGTGGTGTGGATTTCCCCGCTGTTGATTGGGTAGTACAGATGGACTGTCCTGAAGATACTGACACCTACATTCATCGAGTTGGGCGAACTGCGCGTTACGAAAGAGATGGAAAGGCGGTACTATTTTTAGACCCGAGCGAGGAGAAAGGCATGCTCAAGCGATTAGAGCAGAGGAAAGTGCCGATACAGAAAGTTAATGTACGGGATAAGAAGAAGCAGAGCATCAAGAACCAGATCCAGGATATGTGTTTCAAGAACCCGGATCTAAAGTACCTTGGGCAAAAAGCCTTTATCAGTTACACCCGTTCCGTTCACCTACAGAGAGACAAGGAAATCTTCAATCTGAAAAAACTGGATTTGGATGCGTATGCTGCCAGCTTGGGATTGCCCGGTGCGCCGCAAATCAGATTCCAGAAGGGTGAAGATGTGAAGAAGTTGAAGAATGCACCTCGTGCTGGGTTGTCTAGCGACTCAGAATCCGAACTCGACGATGACAAGAAAAAGCGAAAGAAGGGCGAAATCCGGACGAAGTACGACCGCATGTTTGAGAGGACGAACCAAGACGTGTTAACAAGTCACTACAATAAAATGATTGGCGACGAGGAGCAAGCGGCGAGCGATGACGACGACGACGGTCAAGATTTCCTTTCCGTAAAGCGAGTACTGGAAGGAAACGATTTAGACGAGGCTGAGGAGGGCAATGGACTGGCTCCCGGAAAGAAGGTCATCACAGGTCTTGGCGGCGAAGAGCCATTCGTGGTAGATTCTAAACGTAGGGAAAAGATGCTCAAGTCTAAGAAAAAGATGCTCAAATTCAAGGGCAAGGGAGATAAGGTGGTATTTGACGATGAGGGGATGGCACATCATCCGTACAGAATCAAAGGCGAAGAAGACTTTATACAAGACGGATCTGCAGAGGCTCAGCGACAGAAATTTGTGGAGAGTGAAGCGATTAAGGTCAAGGAAGCGGATATCAGCGATAAGCAGCTCGCCAAGGACAGGCGGCGGGAGAAGAAAGAGAAACGGAAAGCTCGGGAAGCAATGGAAAATGATGAGGCGATGGGTGGCATGCCCAGACTCTCGGGTGGCAATGACGGAGAAGATCCCCTCGCTCTTATGTCATCTCTACCGATGGCAGGGGAAGGGGAAGGGGAAAGCAGCGGTAGCGAAGCGCCCGAAGAGAGGCGTCCAAAGAAGAAAGCGAAGAAGTGGTTCCAAGACGACTCAGAGGACGAGAGACAGAAGGCCAAGAGTAGAAAGGGCAAAGGGAAAGTTATCGAAGTTGGCGAAGCACCAGATACCCTGGAGGATTACGAGGCGTTGGCTGCAGGACTGCTCGAAGATTAATGTATTTAGGAGGAGGTATATAAATATTAATATATTAAATAGGACGATGCGGTTACAGTTCTATGAAATTGTTTGGGTTAGATTAATTATTTCTAGCGGTGTCCAAGGTTTTAAGGATATCACAAGCTACATGTAGCAGGAGATGTATGTGATTATCGATAAGTCAATTGAACTACATAAGGTATGTACCTTAGGCACCTAACCTAAGGTATATGTACTACCCCGCGACCCCTCCATGCCCCTTCCCTCCATGCTTAGCTGCCTTGACCCATAAAATTGTCAAGTCGTCTTACTGTAAGGAACGTCGCATTCAATCATCCAACTCTCTCAACCCCCAGCTCTCGTCAGCCGCGACAACGAGGTTCCACATTTACATAGTACTCTACTCTTACTCATATAATCTCGTCAGACCATAGCTTGTTTGTGTCCCCGTCGTCTCGGTCCGATATGAGAAAGACGACCTTCCCCTAAGGTTCCTAAGGCGTGGCATGGCAAGCGATATTCCATGAACAACAACAACCCCTGCCGTTCTCAGCCTCGAGGACATCTAATTCTACAAACGGTCAAATTAGAAATAATAGAATAGTAGACAGCCGGAGTATACTGAGACGGATATGTCGACGCTTGAGAACGGGTCGGCTCCGTCCCATCCCCGTACGAACGGCACGACGTCGAATGAACTAGAGATTCTATGCCACGGGCTCAAGGCTAAGGTGGACAGCTTTCTCGATACACCCACAGAGGATGATATACTCAATTCCGTGAAGAATCAAATAATTATCGCAAGAGGTGTTATAGACGAGGCGCTACGGCGATATAGGTGCACAATCCCCCTTTTCCTTTTTTTTTCTTTTTTTTTGTTTAATCTTCTTTCCTTTCCTTTGCTTTGCTTTGCTTTGCTTTTCTTTCCCTTCCGTTTCCAAGTCCAATTTTCCCGAGCTGACTGCCATACGATAGACCCGAAGAGCTATCTCTATCTTATAACGGCGGGAAAGACTGCCTTGTCCTATTAATACTAATTCTCGCCTCTCTTCCCTCATCCGTTTCATTACAACCATCCTCGTCACAATCCTCGGCAGTCGCCCAACCCGAATCTTCCTCGCCTCTGTCGTTCCCGCGCCGACTACAAGCCCTTTACATCCGGCCGCCTCTCCCCTTTGCTGAGGTAGATGAATTCGTCACAACGACCTCGTCAGTTTACCACCTCGATCTCACGACGTCGAACCAGCCAATGAAGCCTGCTTTGACTGAATACCTGCGCGACCGCCCTGAGGTCAAAGCCGTGTTTGTCGGAACGAGGAGGACCGATCCACACGGCGCAGACCTGACTTTCTTCGATGAAACAGATGCCGATTGGCCTCGCTTCATGCGCATACATCCCGTCATCGATTGGCATTATCGCGAGGTTTGGGGCGTAAGTTCCTCCCTTCATTTCCCATCAGTTCCTCTTTCCATTCGGCAGTTTCCTTAGGTAATGTTTAAATCGGAATAAGACAGTAAATCAGTTAGCTTATAGACAAATACTAAAACGAGGGATTAGTTTATACGAGCTCTGGATATTCCATACTGCCCACTTTACGATATGGGATATACTTCGTTAGGCGGCATAGACGATACGCACCCGAATCCGGCGCTAAAGGAGGACGGGAAAGGGTCCAGCAGCAAGGTAGACGGGGAACACTTCCGGCCGGCCTATGAGTTAACGGAAGATAGAGAAGAAAGGCTAGGTAGGGATCGATAGCGTTGTCATGTTTTTACAAGGAAAATAAGTACCAAAGCAAACATCGGAATGACTGTCGCTTGTATGGTTTACAATTTAAAACAGCGGATAGCCCACACGAAATCCTGGCGATGACAAACATTAGGTTGGCGGATTCAGGACAGCATTCTACATAGGTCTATATCTATACATACATATGTAGGTACTCCCACGCGGAGGCAGGAAAGCTTGAGGATTCGAGCAGCGCGGACGGGTTGGTTAGATAAAGAGAGGATTGGTTACTTACTTACTTACCTTAGGTACTTATTTAGTTTCCTCATAGATATTTATCTCCTCTTACTTTCTCTAGAGTTACTGGAAGAAGCAATAGATAGGCATATGCGCTCTTTATGAGATTTGGTTGACTTAAACGTAATAGATGGGTTTTATGTGCTAACAGTCTAGTAGGCGTAGGGGATAGAGAGGCCTATTAGTTACGGGCGATATAAGACGGGATGCTGATTATGTATGAGAGGTTTGTCGGGATAAAATGGAAAACGTCCAATATTGAACGATCTTACGTGCGGAATTAGTATTCAAAGGCTTACTATTACCTCTTTTCAACACCCCTTTCTGTCATAAATAACATGCCGTACTTGGAGAAAGCCGCCGCCTTCAAGGGAGATGCAATTTAAAGCAATTATGTGGATTCGAATGGACTAAGACAGCTACCTGTTGATAGCATTCGTTTAATTAAAGTATCAAAATGTGCATGCACGTTTTTATGATCGATAAGAGAAAACATCAAGAGAAAAATAAAAGCTAAAATTGAGCAAAAGATGATATATTTACAGCTTGGTATCATCACATCAATCCCTTTGACCATTGTCAGCCCTTCTTCGCTCCGACTCCCTGCCGTTCGTGCGAAATACCAAGAATCGATACCGAAACTCCTTAAGCTTTCTTTCTTGTTGGGTCGTTGGCTAGATAAGCTAACTTAACCCGTCTATTGTGTCTGCGTGTCCGTCTTGTTCACTTTCACTTATATCGTGCTTGTGTTGCTACCTCCTTTCCCCACCAGCTGACACCAAAATAGGCGTCTCAGACTCCTTATTCTTAACGGTTTACCCCCCACGATGTCGCTTCCACGACCTCGCCGTAAAGTCTGAGGCGGTAGAAGCACGTGTGATCCGCGCCGTAGTTCGTTACCGCCTTGACTATGATGTGGCTGGTAGCGGCGCGCATGCGCGTAAGCTCGCTGCTCATCTTAAAGATCTGAACGCCATCGCCGTAGTTCCTCTGTTCGTACGTGAAGTGGCCAATCTTGACGAAGCCCTCCGGTCCCGTGGTGGCCTCGGCTGCGAGAGGAATGGGCATGTGGCTCGCTGAGAAGGCGCGTACCTCGTCACGCAGCGTTACCTCTTCGATATACGCCCACACCTCGATATCCTTGGGCATCGCGCCCGGGTCTAGCGTCGAACCGGGCAGGATATGCTCTACAACTAGGTGCTGTGGGATGACGGTCCGGCTTGTCATGACTCCAATCGCATTAGCGACCTGTGGCACCCCCCTGACGGTCTTCCCGGCGCAGAAGCATTCGCCTTCTTCGCTCCAGTAGGTTACGGCAGACGATTGGGGCTGGGGCATGTAGCCGTCGCGTCGGTACCACTTCTTAGATTTCAAGGGAAAGAAGTCGCTGGGGGGTTCCCAGATTGATGAGCTGGTATGCGGATCAATAACTGCGCCGGAGCCCATGCCGAAGAAGTTGACCTGGTTTAAGAGCATATCATTCGCGTGGCCGCGTATACGGCCGCTGGCCAAGGCGTCGAGTTTAGCGTGCTCGATGGCTTTCCGTATAGCCCCATCGCAGATGGTCCTAACTTCCCTTTCGGTCAAACCTCCATGTGTATTGATGGCCGAATTACGAAGCTTGGTCACGGCATCCACGAGCTCTTTGATCCGAGCATCCTGAGCTACGAGCTCCTTGCGAATTTCTTGTTGATAAGATTTAATTTCACCTCGGAATAGTTTCATGAATTCTTCCCTAGAGACGGCAACCCCACCCACCATTCTCTTCAATGCTTCCTCATTCTGACTCACCCAGATATCCCAGGACCGTAGGAGTGATGCCTTATCACCTGGTGTTCCTGGTGCTGCATGCTCTCCCGAGGAAGTATTTGGCCCAGTTTGTAACCCGAACCCGTCCTTGCTTAAACGTGATTTTATCGCGAGCCAGTGCGCGTTCGAGATTTCAGGGGCCGCATTTTTGACATTTTCCAAAGTCAAAATGATATCATCTTCCCTAATCAAGTCTCGTAGAGCGTGCCAGAAATCTTGTGATATCTTAAACTTACCCTTTGCATCCTTCTCGACGAAAACTTGATCAGGGATTTTTGGTGTGAGGTTATGGGCGAGTTTTGTTTGCGTATCCCCCGACTTGAAATCGATAGAACTTCCGCCCCCGTCGACATTTGAAGATATAATCTTACCAAAGCTATTCTTCATGCTATCCCAACTAGGCCATCGTGCACCAGTGTCAGAAAAGACGTGGTCTCGTGATGGCGTGGAGGCTCCACCGATAAGAGTTAATAGAAGCCAGGCCCAGAATAAGATGGTTAGAAATACGAAGACCGTACTAGCCCAGGCATTCGGGCCTCCAAGTGTCGTCCAGCTAAACAACGAGCGACGTTTCCGAGGGTGACGTCGTTGTCTCCGATGCTTTTCGTGTCGATCGAAATCTGATTTGCGAGTTTGTCGAAAATCGAGTCCCGAGTCGCTGAATGAATCATCTACGGCTTCGTTGGTAAAATTCGGATTATGCCCTTGATTACCATGTTCGTCGTTGGCTACTTCTTCATATTCAGCCGCATCATCGAGCCCGTTACTGAGAGGATCCAAATCTTCCGTTCGTTGGGCCGGAGAAAAAATCTCCTCGGGAATTGGATAATTATTATTTTCATCAGCGTTTGTGACAGTTTCCTTATCGGCCGCATTGGAGGCATCTCCGTCGGGAATAGTTTTAACGGTAGGTATATCGTGGGTATTGTTTGCATCGTTAGATTTGGCAGTAAACGTTTTTGCCTGTTGATCGCGCTCGGCGCGCTCGGCAACTCTGTTAAACTCGGCCATGATTTTTGCCGTCGTTGCCTGATCGTTACCCATATCCTGTATTAAGGCCCTTATCGCCCGGATTTCTCGTGGCGTCAGATGGTCTAATGTGTAAGTAGGGGCGGAAGCCGTGTCGAAACTTGGGTGCCGTGGCGACGTTCGCATGTCTCGGATGAGATTTTCCACCCTCTGCCATTGAGCTGGGGTCAGACCTGGCTCTTTAGAAGGTTCTTGCAGCCCCGAAGGTGTAGGGTTATCATTTTTAGCGGGAGGATAGACGGAGGTCGTGGGATTATTCCCATTCGGAATCACTGTATACCCCGTATTCTGGCTCGTATAGTTGTCGCCCCCGCTAGGAATAGGCTTAGTTTCGTTTACCGAAAATCCAGGCGCAGGTACCTGGCCGTCTCTGCTTGAGGGTGTCGTGAGCGTTGCGTCACTATACAATACATTCTCGGTAGTGAAGCTCCTTGACGAGTCAAGACGTATAGGAGCGCGTGCAGGAGCAACAAATGATGATGTAGAGGGAAAGGGGGCACCTCGCCCTGTTGGCACTCCGTAGAAAGAGCCTCCAGGTGGAGAGGGTGCCGATGGATGTGCATTGTGGATAAGAGTTTCAGGATCAGGGGATCTATACTGAATAGGAGCATACGGTGGTTTCTGCCCGTCCCTCCCCTTGGCCGTGAACATCCGGCCTAATTTAGTAACATTAGGACCCTTGTAATCATCGACGCGTTGAGTGCGTGGTTTCAACCCGTGCTTTGGATCGTATTGATAGGAATCATCCACAAGAGCCATGCTTGCCCCTAGCTCATGTCCTTCGTTGTTCGTTCCCTCGTCGATCCCGTTGTCTTTTTCGGCTTCCTCAACCGTTTCCCCGACAATTCTTTTGAGATCGTTCTCCATAGTATAACGCTTACCGTCTTTACTATTTATCCGTCTGGTAAAGCGCTTATCTTCGTCATCCTCATTAACGAATCCGGGTTTGGTCTTTCTACCCCGACCCTTCTTTGCAGAGTCGAGGTTTATATGCGTATTGACGCCGTATGAACCATCATGAACTGGATATAGACTAGGAAGATCTGCTGGTGGCGGTTCAGAATAAAACTTTTGGCGCGAGGTGTTAGGAGTACTGCTTGTGCCAGTAGCACGACTTCTCGCACGAGTGCTACGTCCAGACATGATAAATTAAACCGGAATGATCCCGGCGAGAATACTAAAGAGGACCAGGTTAGCAAAGTATAGGAAGGGCTTGTAATAATGCGTAACACTCTATGTGCGAAGGAGTCAACGCAGCGGGCTTGAATGAGACGATGTGAAATATAACATGATTCTCCGCCTCAGCCCTCTTCACGTGAGAAATGATAAGAACTCGCGAGGTAACAATTAAGACAGAGATGAAAATTGCGCTGCTAGAACGTACCTAAGCTCACCCCTACCCCAGAATTTATAATATAGGTTAAGTCACTTCACAGATCATACGCAACTAGCCTATCGCCGAGACGGTTGGTTGATCTGAGGGATCACGATGAAAGATGAAGGGATAATGTAATGTTGATGAATCCTTTTTTTGATGGAGGTAGATGTAGATGAATGGATCTGGATCTGGTCATTCTCCCGTTGTCCTAGCCACCTTGCCCAATGCCTAAGACCTCACGCGATGATGTGAAGCTGAAAGCGTCCGGGCGCAAAAGTAGTACTATGCTTTGTTAAGGGCTACTAGGGTTACTAGAGCTACTACAGCGCACAAGGGCGGGAGTCTACCGGGTCCGGCGACACTCTGTAGGTGTAGTACTGGATGCATAAAGATTGCGGGCCGGAGTTGTTAAGCAGGGAAGAGACTTGATATGAAGTTTCCGAAGACGGCTTTTGGGTAGACGGCTTTGAGCATGAGGTGCACAATGCTTTTCTTTGCCCTTTGCTCTTTGTAGTATATCTAATGGTGCATTTAGAATCGTCAAAGAAACGATCGGAATGGAATTGTCGAATTGGTCAAAATGCAGACGACATAATTGATAACTAATCGTAGATTTCAAGATCGGGAATAAATTAGGAAGGGGGATTAGGGTATCAGAATTCCAAGTACATGTAGAATTCCAAGCTTGAAGTCATCCGGTCGCGTCGCGCCGCGCACATGGAACAGGAACAAACCTATTTAGGTAACAATTTAACAATGTACCTACAAGGCGAGAGAGCGAAAAGTCGGGGCTTCCATGAAAATTCACGGCGCCACACATAAACGATAAACGCGTAAGCCACGATTTCTTGGCGGGCTATATTCGAATATTACCTAAGCTGCTAACCTTAGGTACAGGTACCACTTAGCATTCCCGGCCGGATGGAGCAAGTGGGGTGAATTACCTAAAGTACATTAGGTATGTACCTACCTAATCCTCTAAGTTTAGCTGTGTACATATGTAGTTCAATCATTGATCCTTGGTTTTTCATCTGATCTATATATGTACATAGTAGACGAACGGTTTGGATTTCCCTTGCATTAATTATAATAGCATTAGAATTTATTTTTAGAAGCTACTCTCTTATTAGATCAACTGTTTATACCCTTGCTTATGCTATGCGACTGTTGGTGATAAGCGTATCTCATATTACTGGTAATTATCCAGGAGCTCATAGATCGTCGACGCATCGTCATTACAAAAAGCTTATGCGGTATCAATAAATTACCAGTCAAATTACCCATGTTAATGGCGACACAATGTATGGTGTTGATCTGACCCGTTTGTGTGATAACTTCTAACAGACTACCGACTGACTGATGGTTAATAACCCATGTCCTCTAATGTTTTCATACTGTGCAATTCCAACCCCGCTACTGCATCTTCTACAGTCCCAATAAGGTTTATCTACTGTAAATACATCTATCGGACGGAGGGGCAAGCTGCAACCCCTCCAATTTCATTCCGATTTTAAAATGGAGATCGCTGTTGACCGCCGCATCCCCAAAAGTCGCGACTCTATCGCATATCTATCGCACATCCTCTCCTCCCCCCCCTCTATAAACAGGTGCCCCTCTATAAGCCTCGATTTGTATCGCCGTTCGTATTCCCTATCCTTTCCATCCCGTCAATTGGTCTCTTCAAAATTTAAAGATGGCTGTAGGAACCGTTCTAATTACTGGGTAAGTGAAGTTTATTTCGATACTCGCATGCCTCTTCGCGCTCTTCGCGCCCCTCCTTTATAATTATTACATCTCAGAACAAAGACAAGTCGTCAATCGAGTTATATGTTCCTACTAATAAATATGCGCGCATAGTGGCACTGGCTACATTGGATCCTTCACCACGCTTGCCCTGCTTGAGCATGGTTACGAGGTTATCATCGTAGACAACCTATATAATTCGTCCGAGGTTGCTCTCGACCGCATCGAGCTCATTTCCGGCAAAAGACCAACTTTTTACAAGGTTGATCTTACAGAACAAGATGAGCTCGACAAAGTCTTCGCTGCTCATCCCCAAATCGACAGCGTCATTCACTTTGCCGCGCTCAAGGCAAGCTCGCCGACTCCCCATCGCCTATGCCATGTCGCTGACTTACAAATCAGGCTGTCGGCGAATCTGCCGAGATCCCTCTCGAGTATTACCGCGTAAACGTTGGTGGTACTATCTCCCTCTTAGGTTCCATGAAGAAGCATGATGTTACCAACATAGTGTTTTCCTCCTCAGCAACAGTCTACGGTGACGCGACTCGTTTCGAAAACATGATTCCCATCCCTGAGCACTGCCCTATCGGGCCTACAAACACTTACGGAAGAACCAAGGCCATCGTCGAGAACATAATCGAGGACTTTATCGGTGCGCAGCGCCAAAACTTGAAGAAGGCCGACAAGCCGTTTGAGCAATGGAATGGCGCCAATCTGCGGTACTTCAACCCGTGCGGTGCGCACCCCAGCGGTATTATGGGTGAGGATCCTCAAGGCGTACCATATAACCTATTGCCGTTGCTGGGTAAAGTTGCGACCGGTGATCGACCGAAAATTTTAGTCTTCGGAGATGGTAAGTCAGGCTTGGTCCCAAAACTTTGATAATATGGAAGACACTAATAAAAATGTTACGTAGACTATCCATCCCGAGACGGAACTGCCATCCGCGACTACATCCACGTCGTCGATCTTGCAAGGGGCCATCTAGTTGCGCTAAACTATCTTCGTGAACATAAGCCCGGCGTCAAGGCATGGAACTTGGGTTCTGGCAGAGGTAGCACCGTTTTCGAGATCATCAAAGCATTCAGCAAGGTTGTCGGCCGCGACCTGCCATACGAGGTAGTGCCACGAAGACAGGGCGATGTGCTAGATCTTACTGCCAACCCAACGCGAGCGAACCAAGAACTACAATGGAAGACAGAGCTCACTATGGAGAAGGCATGCGAGGATCTATGGAGATGGGTGTCGAACAACCCGAAGGGATACCGACAGGAGCCTCCAGCCGAGCTGCTGGCCGGCGTCAAGGGCAAGGCCTCTTGAGATGCATGAGCAGATAACTACGCCGAGTCGCATTATTGGTGAGAGTTGATTAGCAACTTAATTTGACTGGGCAATGCAATTTAATCCTTGCACGTTTACCTATAGAATAGACGAAGGCTCCGCCTTGATACCGAAACGCGAACCGCCTCCCGTTGACAGGCTGACAGGTTAGGTGAATAATGTTAAATGAGTTGAGATAGTGATGGAAGTATACGTTAGTATTCAGACAAAAAATTTAGGACCTTCGTGCCCGAGCCGAGCCACTAGATGATAACATCAAGGTGTCATGAAACATGAATTAAAGGTAACCCAGCTGCTTTCCGATTTGTCATACGTGGTGAATTCTGCCTCGTCGTTCCCGATATCCCTGCAACTTCGTTTATCCAAGACTTCTACATACAACCCGAGATATCCTGGTTACGTACCTAAACCCGATAGATAGAGTATGCACAGCCACTCTACTCTTCGAGCTACCCGTCTACCAAGGCGCTTGTCTAGAAAGACTGTCGAATCAGCTGTTAAATTCAACGTACTTGTACTCGCTACCACCATGAGGAGGTTGATCGGTTGACAACATGAGCATAGTACGCAGCAAACTGCAGATAGTTGGTTACAACATGCATGTTCCTGCCTGGACGCGACGGCAGCCCACATACTGTAGGTCGGCAGGCCGGTAAGCGAATCAGAGACCGAGGGATGCGTGGCAGTTCACAACAGCGCGATGTTAGACGATGTTACTATTAGACGAGGTTAGATGGAGAAATACCGGAAATGTTTTAGATCAATCGAAGATTGACTTTCGGGCAAGATTTGACGCGCCGTCAGTTGCGCAATGCCATACCGCCAAGGCAGTGCGGGGATATCTGTACGAATGTACTCTGGTACTACGTAAGAACCTTAGCTGCTTATCTGCTCATCTGCTTAGGTTAGCTCCACACGTTTCCCGCTCGTAGATCCACCCAAGGCCCCCTGGATGTGGCTTAAGCTCTTTCTCTCCTGGACCTGGCGTGTCTCATACCTACCTAGGTACCTACCTACTTTTGAGGCGTACTTTAGCTACTGAAACATCTCATGTCTTTTCTTCTCTTTTACTCGTATCTTTTTATTCTTATTCGACATCACATTTGTTCTTATTATTATCACCCGTTTGCCTCGTTCTAGGTAAACAGGTAATAATCAATTATCTACATTGATTGAAGCATAGCATTGTATTTCCCGTTACCTAATTTCGTTATCCGTCGTATCGTTGGCCACGATTTATCAACTATCTTCATCCTTTTCCTTTTCCTTTAGTACAGAATAGCTACCAAAAGGCTATGAGATAGATATCTAAATAGATATCTTCTGAATTTACTGGGGTGCATCTGCATTCATGACTACGCTCGTAGCTTATATCAACATTGACATCCTCGGGGAATGGTATTGTCCTGTGTCTCCCTAAAGGAAGATCTCACTCGTTTAATGCTACGTGCCTAGTCTCGTCTATAGCATGGAGCGCACTTATATCCAGGAAAATAAGCAAATGCGACTTCAAGCACTAGGCGAAGAATGGGGTATAACTAGCCGATCTCCCTCATCACCCTTGCCGAGGCCTGATCAGCCGCCATCCTACCGGACGGATAACGATGAGTTTATAGCAGAAGAACTACTTAAGAGACAGCGCATCAGCGAATCCCAAGGTCACCAGTCAAAGGGGAGTATCTCGCGTGCCTTCACAACAAAAAAAAAGACGTGGGAATA